AAGAGTCTGCCCTTTCGTTACTTTGGGTACCTTGATGACTACATACCCAGCATAGAGAGACTTGCCTGGAAGAAGGCAGGGTAATACGCACTTCTTTTAATGAAAAGATGTGGAAGGCTTGTGTGCCGTTCTTGTTCAGTGCTTGTAGGATGCTCATGCTGTCTGTGTAGAAGCTGATGGATGGAAAATTGGTGTTCCCTGTCCAGAGAGCTGCCTTCTTTAAAGCGAAGGACAGTCTGGAAAATCGAGGCAAGGTCGCTAAGTCTGAACCGTGCTGAGTGAATTTCTGTATTGTTGTGGAAAGCGACATAGGCTGCACCTACTTGCTCTGAAACTTAACAGCCATCAGAAAAGATTTCTAAGTCCTGTCCTTTTGGTAGATGTTTAAGCCATTTTATATCTTTCATGAGAGATGGGTGGACGGGACTATAGTTGCAATGCGTTTCTAAGGAGCACTGGTCCATGAATGAGGAGTTATCAAGCTGAAGGGAGTCTTTAAAATGAACTAATCTATAAGTACCACATTCAATTTCTGCTTTGAGATCTAAGGGGAGAACCCCTGCTGCTGAAGAGCTACTGTGGATGTGGTATTGAAACATTTAGTGATCTTGAGAAGGGTGATGCGTTGAATTTGGAGTAGCTTCTGATGAACCCTTACCGTACTAGTCATCCAGATGGGGGAAGCCGTGAAGCATCATCCTTTCAATGCCCCACAGATATAGTTCTTTCAAAAGTTTCCCTCTTAGATTCCATTTAATTGTGACAATGCAGTTTAAGCAATTAATAAGATTGCAGGTTTTATTTCGTATCATCGTTAAGTGTGGCACCAAGGTGAGTTTTCTATCAAGTAAGAATCCTAGGTATTTTAAAGTAACTTAATTTTTTAGTGCTTGGCCCTGCCATTTAATACAGGGTGGGCTATTTACAAGTTTATTACCCTTTGGAAAGGTGATCATTTTTGTTTTATCGATGCTGAATTTAAGCTTGACTTTGAGGCTCCAGTCAGTGATAAGATCTAATGCTTTTTTCACTTTGTTTTCTATTTCAGTGCAATTGCCTCCTTGAATGATTAGGATAAATCATCGGCATATGCCTGAATTTGTGCATAAATCTAGATCTAATGCAGTATTTGCAATGAGATTCCACAATATTGGGCCACTACTGGACCCTAGGGAGCTGCCTCTGTAGTAGTCATGAGTGACACTGACCACGTCTCGCTGGTAAGGGACTTTACGATTGTGAACATAACTGTCGCCTATGATCCGAAAGAGATTCTTAGGACATTGAATCCGAAAGAGATTCTTAGGATATTGAGGATGTTTGAGTTGATCTCTGAGGGCTGGCCACCAGAGTTGGTTGAAAGCCAAGGCCATGACTAAGGAGATAACACACGTGTGGACACCTCATTGTTTGTTATGGTGTATTTGCTCTTGTAGATTGTGAAGAGCGTAGATGGAAGGTGCTTTCTTTCCCTGAATAGGTACATGAAACCGTATTGTGCTTTTGTTGATGAGGTGGTCTTTCTCCAGGTGGAAAGTGAGACGTCTGGCTATTAGTTTGTCTAGAACTTTTCCCCAGGCGGAGAGAAGACAGATAGGTCTACATGTGTTCGGATGCTTGCTGTTTTTGCCCTCTTTTTTGAAAAGAACAAGATCAGCATCTGGAAAGTAGCCTTGTTGAAGGCATGCATTAAAGAGATATGTTAGTTGGTCTTCGTTTGCGATTCTCATACTCTTTGACAAAGTCTATATTGAGTTTGTCCAAACCAGGGGCTTTGCCCCTTTTGGTAGTTTCTATGATCTTTCGAATTTCTGTGGTAGTGAAGGGGAGATCATTTGCAGTGTTGGGAGGGCTGCTTGCTGATTTCTTTATCTCCCTGTGATGTGGGGTATCTTCGTCTTGAGTATCATTGGGAAAGTGAAATTTGACAATTTCTCTAATAGTATCTTCAACTGCAGTTGTGGTTGTCCCATCTAGTTTGAGTATCAAGCTTAGCTGTAGGGGTCCTAGGCTTTTGCCTTTAATGATATCATAGTAGGACACGAACGGGGAAGAGATCTAAAGATTTTCCCAGAATGTGTCCCATGAGGCTTTTTTGGCCTCTAAGATCTTTCATCTATAAATAGCTTGTTCCTTTTTGTAGATGACTGTTTTTGGTGTGCATGTCTGCTGAGGTGCGATGGTACTGCTGCTGTAGGGCTCGTACCTTTTTCTTGTAATCGTGAGCTCCTGATTCTATAGGTTGCTTCTATAGTGTTTGTTGTTCTTATTTGAATTACCAACTTTTTTAGTGTGATCATAATTTTCATGGATGAGTTTCGTGGTGATCTCTATGTGTTTATTTATTTTCATGATGGTATGTGGTAGTGAAACTGCAGAACATTGTTCTGCGAGTTTTTGCCTCAATGTCATCCAGTCTATATGACTTAGTTTCATCTTCTTGGTGTTTTTTCTCTGTAGGTCTACATTATCAATGTCATATTGGACGTAGTTATGGTCACTAAGGTTTGCTTTCTCCTGGACTTTCCAACTTGAAATCTCGATTGGATTTTCTCTCCGAAATAAAGTGAGATCAATCCACGAGGTTCCCCTGGAACCAGAGAAGGTACGAGGGCTATCAGGGTTGTTAATGATGGTTAAACTCGTGGCTGCTAGTAGTTCACAGATCTTGAGACCTCTTGGGTCTGGCTGGATGGTACTCCAAATTGGATGTTTTCCGTTGAAGTCCCTGCTGATTATAACTGAGATAGAGTCATTTGTTGTGTTTAAGTTCTCTAGTGAGGCCAATATAGGCTCGATTTCCTGCGATGGATGGCACTAAACAGAAACAATCAGGAAAGAGTGGTTTCCTTCGAATCACACTGCTGTGATGTTATCTGTGCTAATGACCTCTAAGGCAGGGAGTGCTTGGTCCGTAAGTATGATTGCTGTTTTGGCGTTTTTTGTTGTATAGAATTTTCTAAATCTTGTGGGGAATCCTTGTAGATGATCGTTTTTTACGTAGGGTTCCTGTGTGCATACTATCTTTATATCTTTATTTTGTTCTAAATGTTCTCTTAAGTATGTAGTTGCACCCCGAGAGTGCTGTAGGTTTATCAAGAGAATTTGGATTTTACTCATAATTTATTCTTTGTTTGTATTTTTGTAACTCTCTTTAGTAGCATACACATTTTCTGTCGTGACTGTGTGATGGGTGTTTAACCCTGCATTCACATTGATTTTGTGACAATTTACACAGATTGGAGATTCCTTTTTGCAATCTTTTTTTTTTTGATGGTCTTCAGTACACTTCATATTTTCTATACAGTTTTTGGCACAGTGATTACAGCCTAGGCATTTGTAACATTGAAAAATCAAGGTCATAGTACCTGTTTACGGTTCACAATCACCCATTGAGTGCTCATATTAGTAGTTGGTCGAAACGCCCCTGGCAGCAATGCATGCTTGAATTCGTCGACGCAAGGAGTGGTAGAGGTTCCTAATGTCATCCTGCAACACATTCTGCCAGGCATTCATCAGTTGTCGCTCCAGATATGCGATATTTTGTGGTACCCAAATCTGGCACCCTACTATGTCCTAGACATGCTCGATTGGTGAAAGGTCTGAAGTTCTGCTGGCCAAGGAAGAGCATCAACCACATGGAGACAGTTTAGAGATATGCGAGTGGTATGTGGCCTGCCATTATCTTGTAGGAAAATGGTCCCAGGTTGACATGCTATGAAGGGTAATGCAACCGGCCGCAGGATGGTATCAATATATCGTTGAGCTATTAAAGATGTACAGTGGAGGATGACTAAAAGATGACCTGCTGACATAAGAAATAGCGCCCCCTTACTGTCACACCAGGGGGTTATGTCTGTATGCCTTTGTAAAACAAAGGTTGATTGGGATTGCTGGCCCCGTCCTCTCCAGACATGAACATGGTGGTCATCTACTTCAAAGATTCATCGCTGAACACTATATGATGCCAGTCTGATGGCAACCATGATTTTCGGCTGCGATACCACTCCAGATGACGCCACTGATGTTGTGGGATCGAAGGCAAATGTCTTAAATGCCTCTGTAATCCCAACCCCGTCTCAGACAAGTGGCGTGAGATGGTGGACGGTACCATGGAAGGTATAGATGTGGTTGTAGTGTGTTGAATAGTCGACAACGATACCGTTGAGGGTGGATCGGGCATGGCAAACTATGTCTATGAACCATCCTATCTTGCCTCACATTTGTGCTCTTTGGTCTTCCAGAGTCTTCATTTCATCTGCAATTTCCTTGTAGCAATCATTGCTGCCAACTTCTTTGCACAGCAGTGTTTGTATGCTGCAGGTGGCGGCCTATTGCTCGGTATGACCACCCAGCTTCACACAACCCTACAATGCGCAAGCGTTCGAAGTCCTTTAGTTGTCTGCAAGGTCTTCGATATCATCATAATGGCACATATAGTTGCTTCTTTACAGAAGTACAATGGCAGCAACAAAAAAAGATAAATTCCCCCCCCCCCCCCCCCCCCCCCGTTACTGGTTTTATACTTTGCGAATTGTACACTAAAAATGCACGCTATGATCACAATTCCTGTTCATTTGCCTTGAAACTTTGATAATTTGCATGTTCGATCAAGATGCTTTTGCATACTAAATTTTATCACGATCACATAAGTCCTTTTTGGTGCTTCGATGTTTTTGCAAAAGAGTGTATATATACACACTCTTTTGCAAATATAATGCATGTATATATATACATTTCAGGTTGACATTCAAAATGGTATGAACTTAATTTATTTCCATTTTTTTATCTAGTAACAACCAGCTAATAATCTTCTTCAGCAGGCTTTTTATACTGACTTAGGACATTTTTATCTACTACTGATTATTTTAAAAATTCTTTTTAAACCCACAATGCTTAAAAAGTGTACTTAGATTCTGCAAATACCAGAAAGGTTTACAGAATTATGGTCTATATATATATATATAAAACAATAAGAAAATTTAACTTCTGAAACTTACCAGTTTAAGGCATTACAATAATTCATGTTCAGAGAGATGATACGAAAGCCTGGATTCACAAGTACAGAATAGTATGCACCCCTGTAATGAAATTACGGTTATGATGCTTTATTAAAAATAATAAAAAATAAAAATTTACCATTTAAGATTTTAACACAAATAGAAATTCATCTGCAAAGAAATCTACATCATTCAAGTTCTAACTATGAAACTTTTCAGTTTAACTTTGAATGTCTGTGTATGCTTCAAAATACATCCACATCCTTTTTATAAAATTAATATTTTATTTAATTTTATGTTTAATATTTTATTTATATATATTATAATAATATAAGAAAATATGATAATTACTGTTCTTATTTAATAACATTTAATTTTATATAATTTAAAATTAAGTTTAATAAAATATTTAAATGTGATATTTCATTAAATAAATTTTTGTTATCTTGTCCATATCATATGGAACAATGGTTGTCAGAGCCTACCCCAAAGAGAGGTTGGACTTCTATTTTCCATCCTCAATTTTGAGGGAGAGCACCCTGGGGAAGATCCGTGAGTCTCTCACCCCTCTCCCGTACCACCATTCCATACGAGAGGACTTTTAGCTCACCGCATATTTAGAGTGCTGCCATGCCGCACCGACACTTTACATTTACAAACAACCATGTATTCTCCGGGATTTGAACCTAGGCCCTTCAGTACCATAGTAAGCTCCCCTAACTACTATGCCATCTGGGCAACTATTAAATTAATTTTAAAATTTACTAAAATATTACAATTAAACCTATGCTGTCATGCTTTATAATATTAAAGTAAAGTATTAAATGTAATAAAGTAAAGAAATTCATCAGGAAGAATTGTTGTTTATGAAAAACTTCAGGTAATTAAAATGCAACTTCATTAAAACGCTACTGGATAAGCAATGCCATTGACTCTCTCTCTCTCTCTCGCAACTACTGCTTAAAATCAATACTAAACTTCCCATTCAAGGTTCATCCAAACACAGTTTCATACAGGACTAATGACTTTGTCAAGTGATGGATTTTTCCAGCCAAAACACAGTTTAGAAAATCCTTCTCAATTAACCCTTTTGAACCTAATGGGCACATGTGTCCAGAGATTAGATTTCATTCCCTATTGGGTAAATAAAACCCACTTTTAAATGGGTTTTTTAATTTGAAGTGTTTTTAAGGAATTAGGGAACAAATATATGAATGACTAAAGAAACCTGGCCTATTTGCTAAAATGTCAGGTTGCACTTTGTAAAGACTGCTTTATGCCATATCATACTTAACAAGTATTGTAAGAACAAAATATTCAGTACGTTTAATTTTCATTTACTTATTTACATGCAGTGTAAGGTTATTATCACAATATCCTAGACTATTGGGACAAATAGGACCAGTTGACAATACAATTGGGACATATTGTCCCAGGAGATTTTCAGGAAACGGGAAAAGTTAAAAACTTTTAACTAATATTACACTTTTAGTATGTCAACATTAAATTAAACTACTTTTCATAGTTAAATTAATCATCTGAAACAATATATAGAATTAATACTTACTATTTGTGTTTTCACCATTTCGTAGTAAATTAAATCTCTACAAATATCCTTGCTAAAGGTTTCAGGGAAAAGTGAACTAACACTTGTGTCTTTTACTTCTGTCTTATTTGGATCACTTTTAGTTTTATTTGGCAACTCACAAAGACTTTCCAAATGTGATGATGAATTACATTTAATTCAATTGGCTCTACAATATTTCTTTTTGTGGCCTTTTAATAAGCATTGTTTGCACTTAAACTGGTCATACAAAGTTTTATGTTTTTCTAAAATGGTTAAATTACAATGTTTTGAAACATGAGGTTTCAAACAAAAACGCAGACGAATTTTTCAATTGATGTGTTAAGTGTGGCAGCTGAAAATATTTTATATTTTTGGTAGGGACACATTTTTCATTATAACTCTCAAATTTATTTTCTTCATTTCTTGCAACTTCAGATTTGTTAGAATTAACAAGCAATGATATTTATCGTGCTTCAATTTCTTTCTCTAAAACTGATAACAAACCTTAATCTGATACATCGCAGCTTGAATTTTGCCTGCTAAGTTGTAAAACTAAATCATTTGAGATACACTTAAATAGAACAGGTAACAATAAATTTCTGTATGTATCGAAATTAATTCCCAATGATTCAAGACAACGTATCCGAGTTGTTATTTCATCAAATAGTTTGTTCAAAGCAAATTAAATCAAACATTACTAGATCTCCCAACTGGCGCCAAAGACAGAAGACTATTCATATGAGTCCTTATTAATAGGTCTTTCTTCCCGAATCATTTATTTAAGATTTCTGTCGCTTTTTTGTAGTTGTTCAGTGTTTACGGTAAGTCACTTATCACTTTGGCTGCTGAGTCTGTAAGCAAACATTTTAAAGAATTGAACTTTTCTATGTCTGTAAGAGAGTAATTTTCATGAACAGCCACTGTAAACTGGGTCCAAAATTCTTGGAATTTTAATACATCACCATTAAATTTCTCTAATGCTCTAATAATTTTGTACCACAAGTACTACTGTTTCTTTTTAATTCTGGAGCAACACTAACAGTTGTGGGTTTTTTTGATTTAGCCAAATTCTGTAAATACCTAGTTATTCATTATTTACACCTAATAATAGATTCATTGTAGTCCAATGAATTTTCTAACTCTGTTTCTAAATCCTGATCTGGAATCTGAGACATAATGACATCATCTAGGTTCAACAACTTTACTTCTCTCTCTATTAAAACAGCAAAAAGAGCTTCCTGTAAATAGTTTATATCACACTGCCCTTCAGAAAGGTCATCATTAATTTTCTTAATAAGTTACACTAGTTCTAATGGTACCTCTCACTTTCTTGTTCTTCTCGATAGTAACCTTAATACCCATTGCAATAATTTAAATTAATAAATTACTCACTTCTCTTGATGAAGACATTTTCACATCAGTTTCCTGAATTGATGTACCAAAACATTTGATACAAAACTTTATCTGCATCTAGTGCAGTTTTAAATCCTTTGGTAGTCAAGGTAATTTAAAACGCAATTTTGTCTCAGGTGCAGCAAATTTAATCTTACCGTACTACAATGATGAGACTGAGAGACATTTGATAAACATATTTATTGAAATATTTACAAGTCAAATATTATTACTTAGTTTAAATTTTAATATATGCCTTTGAAAAGAACATAATCATGAGAACCAAAATAACTCTCACACTCATGCAAAAACACATCGGCGATGCAGCACTCTTTTTTAAACATATTTCCCAGTTGTTTCAAATATCAAAAACGTTCAGTACTGAATGTTATTATAAAACAAGACATAAAACAATAGTTGAAAATGTAATATAATTACTGTTAAGTTCATTTCAATGACTTTTCACGCATACAATACATCATACATCAATGACTTTTCACACATACTACGTCAATCATGAAATATAAAACTGCCAAGATTTTCATAAGTGCAGTGAGTTACTTTATACACACTTGAGCTCTATCAAGGAGCTGTTAGACTTCATAAACAAAGTGGGAGACCCAAACAAATGCAGCTAGGAAGTACTGGGTTTGGTGCGATTGGCACAAAATTCTATTTAGCAGAGGTGCCTCATACCTGCCAAACTCAAGAAGATGAAGTATTTTATAAGGACTTCACTAAAAACTTTTACATAATTCATACCGCATAATTTGGATAAATTTACAACAAAAAATTTTGATGTAAAATATATTAATTTAGAACTTAATTTTAACTTACATTTCCTGACTAATTGGATTTGATTTAATTTTCTTAAAATCTGATATTGCTGAAAACTCAGAAAAAAATAAGTTTTATTATTAAATGTTTGTAAACACAATGAAGAAAATTATTATTAAATATATACGTAATGTATTCGGAAACTAAGTACCGTTTCATTCTAGCGCCGTCGCAGCGCTGTGATAGGCGTCCCGCACATGCACACTAGTCTTTCTAGTTCACTGACTTTCAATTGTCGCCATTTTGGTAGCTCTATGTTGTGTTTTCAGTTTGCTGTGCACATTCAAAATGTTTAAGACAATTAGTTCTCCCGCTGACTGTGAGATTCGTGCCGTGATTAAATTTTTGAATGTGAGGAATGTTAAATCGGCCAAAATTTATCGTCAAGTGACAGAAGTTTACGGTGAATATGCAATAACTGATGGAATGGTGAGAAAGTGAGTAAGAATTTTTAATGCAGGTCGAACAAATGTCCACGCCAAGGCTCGGAGTGGTCAACCTTCTGTTGTCACCGATGATTTGGTAAGAAAAGTTGATGAAGCAATTCATGAGAACAGACGCTTCACAATGACAACTCTTTCAGAGGCATTTCCACAAATTTCATATACTGTTTTGTTCGAAATTGTGTCTGACCGCTTGAATTATTGCAAACTGTATTCCCGATGGGTTCCAAAAATGCTCACTGATGTTCACAAAACAAAGCGACCTGACATTTCTCACGCGGTACAATGATGAGGGAGAAAACTTTTTAAACCAAATTGTGACAGGTGATGAAACTTGGGTGTGTCATTTCACACCAGAATCGAAACAACAATCGATGGAGTGGAGACACACTCATTCTCTGAAAAAACAAAAGTTCAAAGTGACAATGTCATGACAAAAAAAAAAATCATGTGCACTGTCTTCTGGGATAGGAAAGGCGTTTTGCTTACTGAATTTCTTCCCAGAGGTGAAACCATTAATGCGGCACGATATTGTGAGACTTTAACAAAACTAAGGCGTGCCATTCAAAACAAACGAAGAGGAATGCTCAGTAAAGGAATTGTGTTGCTCCATGACAATGCTCGGCCCCATGCTGCTGGTGTCACTCAATCGTTAATTCGACAGTTTCATTGGGAGCAGTTAGATCACCCGCCGTATACAGCCCGGACTTGGCGGCGTCCGACTATCACTTGTTCCTGCACATGAAGCGCGAGCTTGGTGGCACGCACTTTGGATCTGACGATGACACGAAAAATGCTGTGGAGTCGTGGTTATCGAAACTGGCGGGAAGTTTCTTTGACGATGGTATACAAAAAAAACTGGTCACCCGCTATGACAAGTGTTTGATCATTGGTGGAAACTATGTTTAAAATAGTTTAAGACATGTATTTTCATGTAAAAATAAAATTGCATTCGAAAAAATTGTTTTACTATTTTTTTTTCCAAAACGGTACTTAGTTTCCGAATACGCCTCGTATATAATCACTTATATGAACTTAGCAATGTTGCGTTTACACACTTAAAGCAAAATTAAATACAAATATTTGCCTATTAAATGTCAGCAGAAAAACTAACAAATATTACCTATTAAACATTGATTTAATTCTTCATAAAATGCTTTAAAAATCTCTTTGATGGATTTAAATTATTCAGATCTAATAAAAATTAATCAGAAATACAATGAAGAAACTCATTTAAAAATGAGCCACATATAGAGATGATAATGTTATTGCTTTAGTTTTATTTAAAAATTCATTCATTAAAATACTTTTCATAATATTTCCTTTCCCTTTGATACTTAATAATGATTAGCATTCTTTCCAGAATATTCAGAAAATTTCAGTTTGGAGTTGGATAAAATGAAATCAATTTCAACTATTTCCAGTGTGACTTATTGACATATTTAAAAGCTGTGTAATAAGTTGTATAGCCACATCTATCATCCCTTGGGAAAACATTTTATAGATACTAATACAGCTTTAAAGAAATGTCAGTGGAACTTCATTCATAATCCTCTATAGAAATGCTTTTCTATAAAATTCTATAGAAATTTGATAAAGTTTTCACAGAACTGAATTCTACAGAAAAGTTGCTTTGCAAAATTACATAGAAATTTTATGAAGCTTTTATAAAATAGTATTATATAGAAATATGCAAAGTTTTCAAACCATAATCAATGCAACTTTCAGTTCTTACTGCCCCATATGGGATACAGAAGAGCAGAAATAAATTCCTTTTTAAAGGAATAATTTTAAAATGGAAATCTTTGCCTCCCCCCCAAGCTTAACATACATTTTGATAAATTTATGTAATATTTTGCACATTTTTTTTATATTATAATACAAAACTTAAATCTTGTAAAAGAATAAAATTGATTTAAATCATAAAATTAGTTGCAAGATAAATTTACCCAGCTAATTATAAAACTTTAATTCCTGAAATTAATGCTTTTAATTATTGCACATATGCCTCCGATAGGCAAAATTATTTTTTTAGTTTTAATTAAACTATTATTTAAAATTCATTTATTTTCATTTAAATATTTTTTTTTAAATAAAAATCATATTGAAATTCTTTATTGGGAAAGGTACCACAACTGTTGCATCTGTTCTTATTCCCTCCTCCATATCATACATGATTTAAAAATTTAGGTTAAAAAAAATTCGATTCAAAAATTAAAATTTAATCCATTTTTTTTCATCTCAAGAGAAAATTTTGTTTATTTTATAATGATTTTAAAAATGATTAAAAACTTCTGTAAGATATTTTATTGAAAATTAAAGCAATTAAACTTGTTTAGAATTCTTTAGTATTGTCATCCAAATTGGATCTTATATTTTAAGTAGAGTTCTATTAGTTGATTCTATACACATTAGGAAAAGATTATATACATTTAAGATTCTATAGAAGACCTTCGCTCAGTTATAGAAAATTGGGTTATAATTCTAATGGATTATAAAAAAGTTTAACATTGTTTTTTTAAAGAATTTTATACGATATTTTTATAAGAAATATAACTCAATTTGTTGCTCTCATCATATGTAGCCACACCTTCTCCTGCTCTGTCACAAATATGTAGTGATTGGCAGTATTTTCTGTATTAAGTAATCATTCAGTTACACAGCTCTCTCTCTCTCTCTCTCTTTTTTTTTTTTTTTTTTTTTTTTTTTTTTTTTATACTGAGACATGCAAACCAGTTTGAGTGAGGAACTTAGTTTTAAATTTGTGTTCTTTTGAAATGTTTATATATGTTGATTATGTAAAAATGGATAATAGTTAAATATATTTTTGCATGAAACAGGAATTAATAATAATTACGATTTAGCATCTAAACCAAGCAAATTTTGGGAGACTACCCATTTCAGTTAAGCAGGAAATTTCACAATGATGTTTGGTTTCAAGGACTTGCATATGATTTGGCATCTATGCCAAACAAGTTTTGGAAGACTACACATTTCAGTTAAGCAGTAAATTTCACAACGATGTTTGGTTTCAAGGACTTGCATAACTATGCGATATTTTTTCAAAAATAAATAAATTCAGTTGAGGATTACTGGATGGTTTTGTTGAATTTTATGTGCCATTTGTGCAAAGAAAGTGCTGTTTAATACTAAAGTTAAAATGACAAAAAAAGTTGTGATAACAGGAGTGAGTCCAAGAGCAGATTGGTAAGCTGTGAACTCAGTGAGAGTATAAGAAATCTTAATAAACCTTCTGGTGTGATGTTAAAAATCTCAATTCTTTCAAATCTTTAAAATTTTATTTTATTTATTTATTTTGACATACTCTGTAGCTTTACATTTCATTATAGAGCTGCAATCCTACTTAAAATATGAATATTTTAATAAATAAAGACATATGTTTTTGAAGCACAGTAATAATTTAGGGGGAATAAATAGAACACAAAGGTTAAAACATAAAGTGTATATATATATACATATATATATTACGTGTGTGTGTGTATTTTTTAAATAACCCAATATTTACTTACATATCTAATGTATAAGAACTACCAGGTAACCAAGGAGCCCATGCCTTTGTGACCTCTTTATACAACCAAGAAATGGAGTCATTTCCCTTTACTGCAGGAATTGGAAAACTGGAATATGTTACATACTTATAAAGCTACAATCAAAAATGTATTCATCATATAACACAAAATATTTTACATGTTCACTAACAAAAATGCATCTATATTACAAATACAGAACTAGATGAAAACTAAAATGATCTTATCATACCAGCAGACAGTGAAAGCTGTAACAATAAAGAGGTTAAAGTGCTTATGATAATGAAGAAATTAAACAAGTCATTAAAAAAGGGCACTTGAAACTGCCTGATTTTGCAATGGGGATTGAATCAAAGGAAGAAATAGAGGGCACTTTACAAAAGGTATTGAAAAGTTCTGTGCTGCTTACTGCAAACCTTTTAAAAGATTTATGTCATTTATTGTCCTAAGCAAAAATTAGTCGCTTAAAAAAAAAAAAAAAAAAAAAAAAAAAAACTATATTTATTATGCATTAACAAAACCCATTTAAATTAACATTCAATATATTTTTTTAATTACATCAATATTCAGGTTTGTGTAAACTATACATGCTTTCTTAACCTTAATTACAACTACCACATTTTTTTCCATAGAAAATTAACTTGATAAAACACAATTTTTGTGTACAAGCAATGTATTAATGACATATCCCCCATGCTTAGCAAGGGTTTCCTCTATAACAGATATTAAAGAGAAGGAACTGCTAGCAGGAAGATTTTGTGAAATGTAAAGAATTTTTGTAAGCTGGTCAGTTTTCAATAAATTATTACTAAAATCTTCATCAAAAGAGTCATGAGGGGGATTTCTGACCGAAAAATTTCACACATACTTTTGTTTAATGAAAATCTCTACATATAATAAAACAAAGAGTCTGTCTGTGTGTGTGTGTCTTTCATTCGCGCTGAGTGTAAGCTAATAGACCCATGGCTACGAAATTTGGTACATAGGTGCATCTAGACAAGAGCCAGTGCACCTCGAAGCGATTTTTTCGAAATTCGAATTCGATTTTTTTTTATTTTATGTTTTGCGACGAAATCGCGTCATTTTGAGACATAATGGGCTATAGGAAAGCGAGATTTTACTCTACGCACTTTATTTTCAAATTGTCATGAAACGTAGGCACTTAGCTATTTTACAAACTTAAAATAAATTTCATGTTTCAATAAATCAATTAAATATGAATTTATTTAACAAAGGGAGCTTAACACCATTTCAACAGGATTTTTTCTAAAATTTTTTTTTTTTTTAAATGTACAGTTTATTTTTCTTTGATTTTTTGACACGTTAAACTTTCATCCTTGCGACTGCTTTTACAAAAAGAATTTTAGAAAAATGATAATATTTTGTATTTTTAAAAAAATTTTTAAGCGAAGCACACTTTTCACATCTCACATCTTTAAAAATGTGATTTTGGCAACAATTTTCCTGTCTTATTGTTGTAGTTAGATTTTTGATGAAATCGCATAATTTTGAGTAGTTTCATTTTTTTAGAAATATGGGTTTGGCAACAATTTTTCATTGTATTTCTTATGTCACTGTTTTTAAGAGATTCGCAAATTTCATTGTCATTTTTTTATATATATATAATACATTTTTATTGGGTATTTTTTTTATAAAGTTGTGCAGAGTAAAATTCTGCGTGGATTTTTTTTTTTTTTTTTTTTTTTTTTTTTGAGTTTCTTTCATGTTATTTTTTGCTTATTTCATTATTTGTAAGATATTGAAAAGTTTTGCATGATTTTTTTTCTTTAACGGAAAGTTGGTTAATTTTTTTATTAGGATAATTAATATTTGTATTAAGGGATATAGCTTATTTCATTGTAATTTTTTTTCTCTTGAAAATATAAGATAAAATATCATTAATTATATTTTGCTTTTCAGAATTTTTTGTTTTTTGTATTCTTTTATGTTATTTATTGCTCTTTTCCCTGTTTTTAAAGACACTGAAAAGTTTTGAGTGATTTCTTTAGAAAACAAAGTTCTTAACCTCCTTTATATTCCATTTCAGGGTTCATATGCTTTTCTGCACACGGAAATTAAGTACTTTTAAGGACTTTTAAGGACCATTAATGAAAAAATTAAGGACCTATGAGTAAATGAGAACTGAACAAATTCAATTAAAAATACTACCTGTGCCTGAATTTCACTTTTGTAATACCGTCCTAAACATAAAAGTTGGATGCATACTATTAAACTAACTTAAATTAACATAATATTATATAAGTTATAGAATAAAATAAAACTTTATGAAATTTATCAAGTAGCATTAAATATTTTACACTTATAATAGTTGAACATATTAGAAAGAAGTAAGTGACATTTTATTTACGTTTTACTAACAAGTTAGATTTATTAAGACTGTTGTTTTACTTCTAAATTAATAGTTAGTTTTATGTTGATTTTTTTTTGTCTCATTTTGGACAGGAACTAATGCAGTAAGTATGTGGAGAACAGAAACACACTCTGTCTTACACTCCATATACCTCAGTTTAAAAACTATCTAAGCGAATTGCATTCTGGTGAGAAAACAGAAATGGGAAATTATAGTAAAGGCTGAAATTATAAACAACTGGGTAATTTACATAATAATAACTGTACATACTAATAGCAGTACATATCTTTGAAGAATCTCTCTTCAGCATGTTTCCTTTTCCTTTTAGAATTTAAATTAAAGATTTCTATTATTCTAAAAACACTAAATTTAGAAAGCATAGAAAAACCTGCTAATTTTATATCTTTAGTAATATGAACATTCAGAAGCAATATGAAATATATATGGTAAGGGCTGGTTACAGAGACGGTGCAGCAGAATTTTTAGAATTTAGTGACACACAAAGCAACAAAATCTAGAAATGGCAAAACTTTTAGAATTTAGAGCAGGCATTGGAAGCAGAATTTAGGATCCGCAGAGATTGCTTCAGGTGGGAAAAATGAATAGCGCCAGCCCTGTGTATGATGCATTCAGACATATAATATGAATCATTTAAATTGTCAGTTTTCAATTTCCTTACTAAGAAAAAAATTTCTTTCTATAATGTCTGTCCTTCTGATAAGAATAAAAGCATTTTTTATATTTTCCATGTCTGTGTCTAGGGAAAATTAAAGAAAATAAATGGAAGATAAACGTGTTAAGAAAAAGATTCTAGTATCAGGAACTAAAACATTCAAATATTATGTTTTCTTTGTTCTTCCAGACCTTCTTCAAAAAGTAAGAAATACATCGTAAACTTTCTGCAAAATACATTCGTTACGTGTTAATAGCATGGAGACATTTTTCTGCAATTTTCTAGAATCTTGGGTCTATAAAATTTGCCTTCAAATCCTTCTAAACTTTCTAAGCTGCAATGTCTAAAACCCTAAAGAAAAATTCTGTTAACAGTAAAAAGCCAGAAATAATTTGAGGAAAAATATCAGAGGGAATGGTGTAAAATTAATTTTATAGAGAAAACTGAATATTCTGATAACTCTGAATACTCGAGACAACTACATTAGAAAATTTTACCATGAAAAAATTTAAAAAGATATTTTAAATTATTTGCATAGCTATTTTGCTTTTGCTAAAACAGTTTCGTTAATTGTTTCGTATACCTTGCTTATTTTGCAGATTCAAAATATTGTATAATAAGTGGCCAAAATGGAACTTTATAATATGACAGCGAAAATTAAAAACGCTTTATTTTAATGTTATTTTTTAAACATAATTTCAATATTTTACCACTATTTTAATGAAAGTTATCCATGTTACAATGTTTTAAAAAATGTCGAAAAATTTCCAGATCTCGAAATTAAAACATTTTCTACAGAAACTTATCTTAAAATCGCCAAAATGCTGATAAGTCGCCAAATTCAGAGCCGTTTAATAAAAGAATTCACATCCCGAAAAACCAAAAGCTGTTTGAGAGATCTTCATTAGAAAAAATGAAATCATTTCAAAATGCTTATGCTGCACTTCTTTTACTATAAAATTCGAAAATCCCACGATTTATATTAGAAATAGGAACGAATTATAACCCATTGAAAAGATAACCATATCTGTCAGTTGAATCACCAAAAATATTCCTCCAAAATGCTAATTCACACTCAAAATGGCAGTCGTAAAAAACAGAGAGCTATTTCCGATAATTAAAATTAAGGACCTTCTGCCGATTTTGGCCGAAATTAAGGACTTTTAAGGACCAAAAATCAATTCCAAAATACTTAAGGACTTTTAAGGACTCTTAAGGACCATACGAACCCTGCATTTGAGTTCTTAAGATTTTGCAAAGGGAAGTTGGTTAATTTATTTATTAGGATAATTAATATTTGTATTAAGGGATATTGCTTATTTCATTGTAATTTTGTTATACGTAATAACTTTTTTTATACGAAGTTGTTCTGCAGAGTAAAATTCTACAGAGTTTTTAAATTTAATGTTTGGTGTTTCCTTCAGCCATTTTCCCAGTACATTTAAAAGCCAGACGAAGGCTGTCAGTGAAGCTGCTAGTAAATAATATTTCAGTCTTCAGAACATCTAGGTTTTAAAAAATATTTTGTATTCTGTTACAATATCACCCATATAATTAAATACATTTGTGACTTTTTACCCATGGAAACAAGCTAAAATAAATTTAATCAGTTTTGTCAATACCAGGTATTTTTGTTTTTTTTATCTGATTTTATCTTGAATACTTCAGCCCAGAATCCCAATACCAGTTTTTTTTTTTTTTTTTTCTGTTTCTGTAACAGACAAACAATTACCTATTTGACAGTATCTAACTCTTTGGTCTAACAGAAATGTTTTCACCTTCTGAAATAACTGACAAATTATTTCCTATTTTCATTAGTTGTTTCCCAATGTGAAACAGGGTTCATGCCATTAAATTTGATGAAACCAGAGATCTTTAGGGATAGCTTGCTTTGGGGGAAAAGGGGCATATAATCAGTACATTCTATACAGCCTCTCTCAGAACACATTTTAACTCCTTTCATAAGATATTAACTTCTCCATAATTCACCAAAATTTTTTAAACCTTTGCAGCAATAAAAATTAATCACAGACATTAATTTTTAAAGATTATATAACACATATGATGATATATACATGATACATATGATATGGTGCAAACAATTTCTAAAATCCAGAATTTTCAGATATGAGTACCGCATTCTCACACGTATGAGACACACCCTTAATTTTTATATAAAATTTAAAAAAATAAAAAAGATAATATTTTGTGGTTAATTTATCTATTATCTACAATAACTTTTCGTTTGGTGGTGTGGAAGCAACTAAAATGAAAACAATACTTGCCACAAGCTGAAAATGTTTTTTATTATTGGTCAAAAAGAAAATGTTTCATTGTTTAGCAACTTTCATTCACATTCACCGTCAGTACCAACAAAGTAGTTGAGTGCACTACCAGTGTCACTATTGTCGGTCACAATCATTGATTATGCGCTGCTGTGTTGCCACAAGTTTGCATGTCCCTACTTTTAATCATTTGCATGTATAAACAGCATCCCTGATTTTCATCAAAAGTTCAGCTTATACATGAGAGAATACAGTTAAGTAAAAATTCTGGAATTCTAGCTATATCAGGAGACCATAATCACATGATAAAGAACAGTATAATTTTCAGCATTCCCAAATTTAATATATTTTCTCCTTACCTCTCAGACATTAAAAATAAAACCAGATGGCCATAATAAAACCTTACAGTGGCACCAATTGCAAAATTTATTGACATGTAATTAAACAAGTTTAAGTCTGTGAAATTTCATTCTACTTTTAAACAGTATCTTGTTACTACTGTATGGGTCTGCACATTCTAATATACCTTGCAATAAAATTTCTGCTTTACAAAATAATTATTGATCATGCTTTTAAAAACATCTCAATCAATGAATGTTAGTCTAAATTCATTGCATGAAAAATAATAAACTTAAACATCATAAACCGAGGTTTAATTTCATGATCATTCAATAGATTTTGATACTTCATTTCAAATAATCAAACTGCTATTCTGTATCGAAGGACCATGGTTTGTTTTCATACAATTTGAGAAAAAACATAATTTGACAATTAAGTGGAAAATATTTCTTTTCTTTCTTTCTTTCTTTCTTTTTTTTAATTCACAGTTTAAGAATTTTTCTCAAGAATTAGTAATTCCAAAATGTTATAAACAAAAGTCCTTGTCAACTGGAATATTTCTGTAAATCTTGAGATCTCCCTTGAGAATAATCATAACGAAATTTCTTCAATAGCCTTTCAGAAAAAAACATTTTGTACTTACATATTATCCAAACAACCATGAAAGTATCATCAAGCAGCATGATTTAGCACCAGGTAGGGACATATGTGACATTACAATACACTCCTAACACCTGCATTTTCATTTGATGCAACTCAAACAGATTCTCGATAAGCCACATTTTGTTTTATGAACAAGTATATAAATTAACTGTTATTACTGCATTTTGGAAAATAAATAAATAATTTTTTTAAAAAAATTAACGGCTGTAGAATCACTTTTGTGATAGCACTCCAGTTCACTTGATCACTTTAAATATTGATTGAAGTCGGTATTGGTATTGATTGCATTAAACTTCAGGCAATCAAACATTTTGTAGAAGATAACATATCAAGAACTGAAGTTTAATTACATTTAGCTTAATACATGCCTCTAAACTTTTCACATACAGTTATTCCTCCTATAACATGGTAAATTGATTTCTAGAAAATACTATGCTGCATGAAACCATGTTATACAAGACTAACCAAACTTATTATGATTCAAAATTTGTATTTTTCATCTTCAAAGAAATAAACCTTCCTTTAAAAGTTGTTTTCTTACTTTCAGGCATAGTTCGAGACTAAAATATAATATTACAATAATTACTCCTAAATTCGCAGTTGCAGTTTAATACTACATTCCACCAAAATTTTTTGTAAACTATTTTCAAAAATCAGAATTATGTAATTAAGCAATATAACAACTAAACTTTTGGAGTATAAGATACATAATGTGTAACTGATGAGCACAACTCAATTTAAAAAAAAACTTCGATATGAAATAATGTGAATATTTGTGGAATTTGTTTTATTTTGTTTATGTAAAGTGAGAGGTTGTTATTGTGTACTACACACGATGACATAGTGCATAAAATTTTGTTAATGTTTAGAATAATAGTGTTATCAAAATTTGTACATACATTAAGTGTTATAAAAGGTTTTATGCATATTCATTAACATGCTAGAATAAAACTATGTTGTCATGCTATATTAGGGTTTTTAATATTTTCTTAGCATGTAAGAACAAAAGCATGTTATAAGGATACCTGCATTTTTAAATAGATAATAAAATGTTCTCACTGAAATAGATATGTTTTAAAAATTTAAAAGACCAAACCATAATAATGACCTGTTAACAGGAGAACTTTCATGATTTCCAAGAGCGGGAAAAATAGGTACATGTCCAAGATATCTATGAATAATTTTTGAGGCAGAATGTAGAAGGTAGACGGCTTCCAGTCTCGAATTGTTCCAGATATCATGTGGTGGAATATCCCCAGTCCATATCACATAATCAATCTAAATTGACATAATTAACAGTGTTAAAATGCTGAATTGCATAAAATTACTTACACACTTTACAAATAAGTTACTTATGGATTTTCTAGCTTCCTGCATACTTGAAATGGCACTTATACACTGCTCGACATTGAAAATGCAATACCAAGAAGGAGTGGTCAGAAATTTATGCAAATTTTAGAGTAGCCGCATGTCACTGAGTTATGCGAATGATGTTAAATACGCAGCTCTCCGATGCATGCGATAAGGGAAGGAACTTGCATAATGGGCAATATTCGTGTCATTATTTCTGCCACTCGAATTATCGAAGGAAGTTGGTTTTTGTCCCGGAGGATACGTGTAATAGGAGAGAATGCCAGGCCGCCATCAATAAAGGCACTTCCAGCAGATAGACGATTTTACGAGGAGTTTGGTGATTGGACTGAGAAGGGCGGTTGGTCCTTACATCAAATTGCAGCTGATACCCACATGGATGTGAGCACGATGCATCAGCTATGGCGAACATGGTTGGAACAAGGAAATGTGGGAAGAAGGAGGGGTGCAGGTGCAGCCAGAGTGATGTCAGCACACGTGGATCATGGACCTTATAAGAGATAGAGTCACCCAGTGGGCGGGGCGCGCGTCACCGACATGTCGGCAAGAAAGAGTACGGACGATCTGGTTTACTTTAACACTGAAACCTATGGCATTTGTATCACATAACTCTTTTTAATTATTAAATGTGATACGTTGTATAGCGATGAGATTATGAAAGCCACAGTTTTGCCCAAATAGGATTTAATATATCTCATGAAAGCACTTTGTGCATTTTTTTCAGGCGTAATTCTTGTAAAAACATTTTTACTTTGGTAAAATGGTAAAAACTCTAAGGACAAAATTTATGAACTTAATTTTGCGTAAAAATATAGTAAAATTAAATAAGATTGATAGAACGCGATGCTTTCAAAAAAATAAGGTGAAATTAAACAAGATCTGATAATTTTTTAATGAACATTTTCAGGCAGTAATTTTCCAAACTATAACAACATTATAAAATGATCATATTTATTTGATTATATGATTATTAAATTATTTACATTAAAGTGGGTTTGTTATTTTAATAATTCATAAAATTCGGACCATAAAATTTTCTGAATGTAATGAAGGAAAAAAAAAAGATAAAATAAAATCTAGAAGCCCTCTTTTTTTTAAAATTTGTGTGCTATCTATATTTATTGAATATCATGTTCTTCACCCGTAAACCACATACATTTGAAAACAGCATATCTTTAGAATTTCCGCACTGGAGATAAAACTGTTATTTTCCGTACAGTGCTCGCTCTGAACTCGTTGAGTTTGTTAATCAAAAATTCGTTAAAGTTTTACAAAATATGAAATAGATTAAAACAAATTCGAAATTCGGCCATCCAGATGCCTATATTTGGGTGGAGGATTACATTATTCAGAATTTGATGGCTCTAGATACTGTCGTTTTTGTCACAGTGCGAGAAACATACATGTATTCATGCAGATTCTTCATTATTTAATTTCTTTACATATAATAAAGAGCGATAATATTTGGTAACAACAATTTGCAAGGAGACACGGACATTTATAGTAAAACAGCGCAAAATGCCGCTTCAAAACTAACAGCCTTTCTAGGCTACCGCCCCTTTGGGCTAATAAATTAAATTAACAGTAAATAAAAAAAATCTTATGCAGAACTAAAATAAATTTAAAAAATAATCATTATAAAATACAATCAAAATTAATTATTACAGTTAAATACAATTTGAATATTAGAATTAAATGTATAAAAATTTTTAAAGAGTCAAAAGTGTTTATCACTATGTTGTGTTATGAAATATAATTGAAATAAAATTCCTTTATAGAAATTGTGCTTTAATACTCATCTACGATTTTAAAAAAGCAGCACAATTTAGAATTTTAAACAAAACTTTCAAAAATTCGTTTTTAAATATTTTAGTATTTTTTACTTGTTTACACCAATAAAAAGCATAAAAATTGCAAGAGAAATTTACTTGTTTGAAATTTTCTATTAGTTCAGATTTAAAATGTTATTTTCTAAAAGAAGTAGTTACAAATTTCCTGACAGCATAGGAAAAGCTAAAAAAATATCCAGTCCTGAAAGCATGCAATAGCTTTATAATTATTTGGAATGTTAATTAATGCTTGATAAATATGCTAAGTTTTTAAAAATCAATCTCAATTTCAAAAATAAAAATATGTAGAAATTCTAATTTGTAAAATGAGACGCTACAACCAGCTTTTTCTTGACAATTATACCCGCTGCAATAGGCAACCAATGTTAAATTTCTGCAAGTCGTCCCTACTCCTTCGGATGTGATCAATGTGATCGGTGTGATTCGGATGTGATCGGTGGCAATCCCCTACTTTCAGGGGCTGCCCTAATGCAATTTTTCAGAAGGATAACGCTTGACCACACAGTGCTCGCATCTGCCAACATGCTCTGCAAGGTATACTGAGATGCTTCCCTGGCCACCAGACTCTCCTGTGCTCGTTCAGAAGACGAACTGTGGCAAATGGTAGAGAGGGAATGGAGAGCCATCCCTCAGGACACCATCCACACTCTTATTGACTCTATGCCTAGATGTGTTTCTTCGTGCATTGCTGTCCGCGGTGATCCTACATCCTACTGAGCCGACGCCGTTCTCGCTCCGTATTCTGACTATCATTTTGAAATAAAGATCACTTATTGCTGCTTGCTGTCTCTGTCATTTTCCCAAATTCTTCACTTTATGACCACTCCTTCTTGGTGTCGCATTTTCAATGTCAAGCAGTATATGTACAAACACAATATCTCGGGTTTTAATGAAAATTTCCCCCCGATGGAAACATCGTCTGCATAAACAGCATGCATTGCTGTGCTTAATTGTATTTTATCAAACGATTTTTGGCATTTGAAAGAAAGAGACTTGCTTTAAATCCTGTTTTGTGGAATTTATAAAAAAAATATAGTTATTATTAAGTGTCTGAAATAGAAATATCACGCTAACAGATTAGAACCATCATATATTTCCAGATCTGTTGAAAAAAGTCAGCTACAAAATATCATCAAATTATGTGTACAGCTTTAGGCGCTAATGTTCTATCATATGACACTGTGAAGGTTTGGTACTGAAAGTTCAAAAACAAGGACTATGACTACCTTTTTTTGAACCTGCAGCTACATCTTACTGGTGCCATCTTCCATTCTGCACAGGACTTCTGAAATCAGGTTGACCTGTTTTTGGACTCATGTCCAACAAGTTTCTGAGCTGAAGGCTTTGAAAAACTACCAGAACACTGGCAGGAAATCATAGATTTGGGTGGCGCTTACTACCCCCACTACAGATGCTGCTCTCATGTTTTTTTCCTAACATAATTAAGAACATTTTTTGGGCAGAAAACTTTCATTACAACAGGTATTTAATATTATGCATTATTTTAAGGATGACAGAAACGGAGATAATTCTTTCAAAAATACACTTTCACAAATTCCAAAAATACACTTTGGTCCTTATAAACACACCTGTGAACAAAAGACTCATTCACAACTCCAACATCGTACCTTTTAGTACTAAATTTACTTTCCACACAATCTAAAATACGAGAATGAAACCTTGCCACCATGTCTATCATTGCAACATAGGCCATTTCAAAATGCGCTTGACACGAACCAAGCAAAAGAGTTAATTTTCAACGTCAAAAGGGTTGCCATGCAAACAGCATCGTCAACCAAACCATCCCACAGCACGGAATCATGCCCAAAACCAGTGCACAACACATATCACCACATTTGGTGATCTTAGGGTGCATATAAGAGTAGAGCCCAAACATCTACAGGGGTTGGACAAAAATATGGAAACACCTTTAAAAAAACATGTTTCTTTGCTTAATATGGTGTAGGAAACCCGTTGGCATCCAAAACAGCTTGCAGTCTTCTCGGAATGGATAAATACAGTTCCTGTATGTTTGCCAAGGGAATATTATACCATTCTTCCTGCAAAACGGTGGCAAGTTCAGATAATGATGTTGGCGGTGGATAACGAGAACGCACTTTCCGTTCCAATGTAGACCACAAAGGTTCGATAATATTCAGGTCTGGTGACTGTGGTGGCCAGGGGAGATGGGACAACTCATTTTCGTGCTCAGAAAACCAGTCCTGGACAATGTGAGCTGTGTGAACAGGGGCTTTGTTGTCTTGGAAGACACCATCACCATCGGGGAACAAAGTTTGTACCATGGGATGAACTTGATCGGCCAAAATGTTCACATAAGTCTTGGCAGCCATGTGCCCTGACACAGTTATCATGGGGCTAGCAGAGAACCACGATATGGTTGCCCAAACCATAACAGAACCCCTGCCATGTTTGACTCTTGGCAACAAGCAGTCTGTATTATAGGCTTGAGATGGCGTTCTCCAGACGTAAACTCGGCCAGAAGTGGGAAACAATGTGAAAGACTCGTCAGACCATATTACTTGCTTCCACTGCTCTATAGTCCAGGCTTTATGACTTAAACACCACCTTTTCCTGTTACGGGCATTAGCATCACTGATGAGTGGCTTCTCAATTGCAGCAGGGCCAGCAATTCCCTGTTTATGAAGCTACCTTCTAATTGTTTTGGTACTCACAGGGTTCAGTAACACAACATTCATTTCAGCAGTAACTTTTGCAGCTGTGGTCTTCTTATTTTTCGTCACAATTGCCCTTAATGATTGTCTGTCACGATCACTCAGGACACACTTTCGTCCGCGCTGTGATTTAGAAGATGATGTTTTTCCGCTTTTCAAATATGCGGAATAAATCTTCGATACAGTACCTCTTGAAACACTAAACACCTCGGCTACCTTGCTTACGGAAGCACCTACCATACGTGCTCCAACAATTTGCCCACGTTCGAAGTCTGTTAACTCTGACATAATGCAATGACAACCTCACATAACAGTACTCCGACAGCAACTGAACTGTTTAGCACATTTACGAAGTTGTATAGGTGGCGTCAGCAGTCAAAAATACCAGCGCCACCTACATATTTCATTAAAATCAATCTTTCTTTTCAAACATGCATTTCACAAGGTGTTTCTATATTTTTGTCCATCCACTGTATGTCTTCTCTGGGATTCGCACCTGGAACCATCAGTGCACAGCAGTCAGTGTCACTGACCAGTACACTGACTGGGTCTCTGTTTATTCATGCAGTTTGGCACAAAACTGCTTAATTTTTTAATTACCTCATATTCAAGTATTCAACCAGTTTCGCGTTTCCCATTCTAGTTTTAAGTTATTACTTTTTCTTTTTTTTGGTTTATGTTTCTTGTGTTCTTGCATCTTACTTTTATATTGCCTTTATTCCATAAAAAGTTTCTATATTTAAAAAAGTACTGATTTTTAAAAATATATTAAATTTAGTGTATTCTTTCTTTATCATCCAGTAAGGAATGGTTTATTCCTTACTGGATGATAAAGCTTTATATCAATAAACAAATAACTGTCAATTTTATTTGTACTCAATGTGATCTTGATTATGCTGATCCACTACCAATGCATAATTGGCTATTGCCCCTTGATCATCATTCATCCACCCCCAGTGGTCAATACCAATCCCACATCTATAGACAGTTAACAAAAATTAGCATCTTTTATGATGAATAAAATGAACTTTTTTGTGTACAGGTGTGTTAACACATTCTCAGAACAATTTCGATAAAGAAATTTAAAAAAGGCAAATGTTTTGGAATAAAATTTTCTGGCAACTGCTTATTATTTGAAATGAGAAACACTGTCTGCTAGTTTTAAATTGATTCTTCTTTCAAAATGTCACATGTAAGCAAGCTGTGGGTCGATGGATATGTTTTTGCACTTTCTGAAGAGAAATATTCCTATTCCATAATTAAAAAATGCTTACTTGCACAGTATTCAAATTTCTAAGAGCAAAATAAGCAATAAAGGAAAAAAAGTCAAAGATTGCTTCTATATGGAAAGAAGAATCCAAACGAATATCCAAAAAAGGGTACACATTATTTTAAATGCGTCTAATCATTGGAAACAAAAGAAAATCTGCCAGCACAGAAATCAACTGCGAAGTCTTTAAATCCATCTGTAACGACAATAAATAAAATAATAAACCAAGATCTACACCTTAAAAAAGCTAAAATACATAATATACACCAACTTTTGCCGAGGCATGTGGTTTAATCCAGAACAGTTTGTACAACCCTATGTGAAAACCATCTAGCAGGAGATAAAGGAAATACATTATGACCTTCGATGAAAGCATGGAATTACTTAAATGACAGCAAGCAAAAAAAAGTCTATTTATTATCAAAAAGAAGAAAAAAAAAAAAAAAGGGATAAACATTGTTCTGTCAATGGAAAAGACGTTTTAGTGAGAGGTTTACAATTTTTGCAGGATTCATTTACAACTGGAAATTAAAAATAAGAGTGGGGGAAAATATTAAAATCAACTCAAGGTACTATCGAGAGAAAGTTTTACCAAAGAAATTCTATTTCTTTATCACAGTGATTGTCAAAGAATGAACTTCATCAAGAGAAAGCAACAAGCTATGCTTTGGAAAGTACCACTGCATTTCTTGAAGAAGTTTCTTGAAGACTGGTATTGCATAGTGGTATATAGTGAACCAACACAAAATGCCAAAATGAAATTAATAGCCCTTCTGGGCAAATTGCCCCTTTGGGCTAAATATCAAAATGGATTATATAATTTGGAAACTACCAAATGATGGAGAAAAATGATTAAATTCTTTCAAGACAAAGGCATCATCTGTACTGAAAAACTTTGGAAAATTACAGCATACATTTTTTTTTTTTTTTTTTTTTTTACTTGTACTGTAGCACCGAACTTGCAGTGCAAAATATTATGTGATGAAAAGAAAGGTTTATAAGGCAGATCATCTTCAAAAGCTCATGCAATTTTTTTAAATAGCTATTTAATTTATTTACGTCACATGTCAGGAATGCATACTGGTAGATTTCTATCAACTGTAGGTAGGAATAAATCATTGTACATTTGCTGCTTATGATAATTACATGCATTTTCATTTACACTGAGTTAAGTGAATTACTATGCCTGTCTTTTATGATCTTTACAACCTTTATTATGACAAATACTGCATTTATATTTGTATTGTATTATGGAAGAAAAAATAATAATTAAAAATTCCTGCATTGCTTTTGTATATGACATATTATATGAAAAGGTAAACTAAACATATTGTCATGAGCTACAATACTGTTGATGTTTCTTTGAATAATATGTCCAAATAAGCAGAAAGAAATGAACAAAATTTGATGACACACAATAAACTGTGTCCACAGCAAAATAAATAGCTGAAGGACAACGTGGATTTGAAACAATTTCTTCGAAAATATAGTAAGTTCCTCAAATCACTCTCAAGGTAAACCCTAATTCAAAGTTCAGCTAAACACTAAATTTAGTTCTGATTCAGAAATAAACTCCCTAGCTCAAGAACCTGCATTTATGTACTGTAGTATGGGCTCTAGAAACTTCTGTGAAAATTGGACGTAAGGCTTCTTTATGTGTTTTTGAAAATCCTCCTGAAAGTTCACACACTGGTGAAAAATTGCCAAATGCCACCAACTTGATGATAAATTGCTGCCAAGCCCCATCAGGTATGAATTTACTCATATTTTGTATTATGCTTGAGCTATTTTTACAATTTAAATGCTCACATATCATCAACTGAAAGATCTGCAATTCTATCTAATAAATAAGCATCTAATAAATATAAAACACATGACCATAAATTAAACACAAATAAATGCTAAAATTCTTGTTTTGAAAGCAGTAAATAATGAAGTAAAATGATACACAGTACACTACAACAATATACGGGGAAAATACAATCCCAAAGGATATAAAAATTTACAATTTGATAAGCAATTAAATATGGAATTTAGTAAATAAATCTCACAATAAATAATTAATTATACTGCACAAATAGCTAGTAATGCATATGTCATCTTATGATGTAAGAAAATTTTGAGAATGTGAAATTATAAAATTTATGATGTGAAATAATAAAATTTTATTTATGTGAAATAATAAAATAATAAATTTATTTTAAAATAGATTAAGCTATTTTGAAATTTCTCATAAAAATAAACATTCACTGAAATATTTTTGCTGTAAATTCTACTCATCACAATACACGCAGATATAAATCAAAATCTAAAGTAAAATATTACCTTATGGGTTTTGTTGATGTGATTTAGCATGTTTTCTAATGTACGTAGAGGAATATCACAGTTCCTGTAGTCTCCCCAATATCCAGCTGCATCTGAAGGAACGGCTGGTGTTCCGGAGGCTTCACGACAACACAAGGGTTCTCCACAGTTTGCTTCACTCCCTTCTTTATAGAAAGGATCCAGATGGACATCAGAGAGATGCAAGACACGCAAAATTGGAGCATTCTTCTGTGAATATCATGATACAAGCATATTACACCAAAGGTAATAGAAAATAGCCAAATATGTATGCCACAACATTCCTGATTGGGTATACAATCGAACCACAATGTAACAAACCTCCAGATATGATAAACTAGCCTTTCGGTTTTATTTAGTTTGCTATACACTTAATGCTATTTTATGCTGTATGACAAACTTCCAAGATTATATGAAAATCAGATATAACATATGGATGTCTTCAACTGAACCTTTTTTTTTTTTTTTTTTTTTTTTTTTTGTATTTCTTCTAGAATTGGTGCAAGTTTTATTCAAAATAGTATTAACCATTGAAATCATCTACATTTAGGATGTTAGGATCCACATTCCATCTATAAAGAAAAAACACCTTAAAGTTACTTGCTCTTAAGTCCCAATCACATTATGCTTCGGCTACGTGGGACTTGATGTCGAAAGGGACAATTCTTAGAACCCGCACAATTCCAAGAAACCCACATAGCTAGGTTACCATTTTCACTTACTACAAAGACTTGAACGCCAAACACTAATAAATTATCACTCAGATTGGGATCATGTGATGCTTTAGAAGCAGAACTTTCATCTGATTGGTTGTCTCTATCCGGGACAGAGGTCCAGCCGAAGCATTTTCAGTGAGGTTTGAAAAAATCCAGTGTAGCTGCAACATTGTTTCCGTAGCTAGGTGAGACTTCGCTTCAGGCAGGGCTCTTTTATCTAGGATTCCTCTCAGTTAAATCAGTGCCTCTACAATCTCGTTTCTCAGAAAAGTCTAACCAGGACTGTAGTCAAGTGTAATACCTTCTTTAGAAAGGCTATGTGAGACCAGGGCTAAAGGGCTAGTTCATCAGCTTCTCGCGGCTGAAACCGAAAGAAGAGACTGATGACGTAGTTGGGTTCGCTTGGTCAGTTCTGCTGTTCAGTTTCTTAAGCATTTGCTTGAGAATCAAAACGCTTTGAAAAATAGTTTAATAACCAATATGAGCCGAGATTTTAGCTCATGAAATTGCAATATACATGCATTTATATATGAACTAGAAATGTATTTACGTCATACCAAATTAAACTCTAATATGCGTAAAACGTAAGTAAAACATGCATAAACATAACTATTTTTTAATTAACACATATGCGTAAACATAACTAATTTTTTAGGTCGAGTGTACCCTAAATGTAGTAATTCTTTTTCATAATCATCTTTTTAAATATATGTAAATAGTAACCCACCGATAACATACGTAAATTTCTACATTTACGAAGAATTCTTTTTGCGTTAAAATATAAGTTAGTCACAAAGTAATTTGCATTATAGAAATATTAAATAAAAATATGCAAATACATTTTGAGAATACATGCTAAAGACATTACACATCTATCTAATTAAAAATTAGTTAATGCTAATAACAGATTTCATAACACGTTAAAACGAAACAAATTTCACTTCTTCCATTTTTGCTTTTCAATTAGCATTGATAATAAGTAGCAGAATTTTGTAAGCTTTTGCAATGTCTATTATGAGAGCATTATTATGGAATATCAGTATCAGTATTATTATTTAACGTCAATTACTCAAAAAATAATGAAAATATTTTAAAATAGTATTTATATATTTTGGAATAATAGCATGTATTCTTACATTTTAAAAGTATATGCTCTGATACTAATTTATGTTTATGCAGAATTTCATGGTTTATTTTATATAGTAAAATTTAGCAGTCTAAATTAGTATATAATAATATATAATATTTTATATAGTAGTCCAAATAATTAACTGAAACGTGCATAAATTAGGTCACAAATTAAGTGAATAATAAACAAAGTAATGATTCAAATTATTATTTTTGGTAGGAATAATATGAATCAACTTACATGATTTTTTTCCCTATATAGTTTGGTTCGATAATCCTCTATTACTCTTCATCCATTTATTTGCTTTCTGGTCAGCTTTTCTTGCCGATACAAGGGTTGCATTCCTATTCAAGTGCCGAACCCTTATAAATGTTCGTAAACGGCAAAATAAACGAATTGCACTCTTATTCACGGAGGGAAAACGTTTCTCAAGTTCAGAAATGAGATTCTGAATTACACCTCTACCTTTTCGAAAAGAACTGCCATGAAAAGAACGGAAAACATTTTCCATTTTCATCATCGTTTCCATCCAAACTGGTGATGGTACAGTTAATCCTCCTTTAGATAATAAAAATATCCAATTTGAGTCGTTAGGAATATCTACGAATTTTTTTGATATTTCACCCAAAGTAGGATCTTTATCTTTCACACGATATGCAATATAACCTGCCACATAAGCGAGCGATTCTTGTTCATATGCAGATATATCTTTCGTTGAATCATAAATTTCGGTTTCCCAAGGAAGTGACGTACATTCATCATAGATGTCTTCGTAATTAATTAAATCATCTTCGTATAAGGAAGACTCAAACATTTGTGCTTTTTCATTTGAAGAACAGCTCTTTTGTCAAATATGCTTCAACTTTCTTCACATCTTCACAGTCATTAGCATTTGTCTTTAACGACAATTTAGGCAATTTGTTTGCCAATAGCAACCTTTTCAGGCGAATTATTACGTCTGATGGAGACGGATGGTCATTAAAACGCCCTAGACCCCAATCTGGCTGAACAAGCTTTCTAATACATCTTGAGTCAGTCTTGATGTTAAAATATATTCACATTTATAGATTTTACGTCGTCAAATAAACCGAAAAGCGAATTTATCGATATGATAATACCTTTCTGAAAAGGTAGCATTGTCTTCTTTCCGCATACTCTGAGATCAAAAATCATTTTTAATTTTTCTTTTTGTACTTCTCAAGCTTTCTAAAGCAGCTTTTAAAGGCTTATTGCTAGGGGGTAATGGTACACTACTATTCATAATGTCAAAAAAATCATCAACCATTGAAAAAAAAATTACTTGTTGCAGCATTACCAGTCAAATGCATAATTGCTTTAGCCGTTGTGGAGGAAAATAATGCTTTTGCTGGTGCTACTTTCTGTCTCTCGTTCCCTTTTACAGATAAAAATTGAGGTTTCAGTTTATAGCACACAGTTTAATTTCTCCGATATCTTTATTGAGTACTTCATATATAACGTCTTTGTTTATAATTGTACCATTTCCGAGAATAAAACCTTTATCAAGAAAATGGTTTCTCAAAAGCTTTATGCAATGCGGCATATCAGCGAAAACCCATATTTTGGTGCTGAACTTGGGACTGTAAAAGAAAGATTTATCTGTTGAAATTTGTAATTCTTTCCAAAGGGTCTGACTACCTCCCATGTCAGATACAATTGCTTTGACTCGAAGCCCAGACGATTTAAGTGCAAACAAAATGGAAGACAGAAGATTTTCCTTCATTTGATGATCAAAATCAAAATTAATGGGCTGTTTCCATTGCGAAATGAGTCCTTGAGCCAATACATATTGAGTCTTTTTAAAAGGACCTAATATCTTATCTAATTTTGAATCATAACAGAGTCTTGAATCTATATGAATTTCATCGAAACTTAATAATACGCATAATCTTTTTCTGTCAGTTGCATTTTGGCAAGTTTTTTTTTATCAATAACAGTACATCATTTAAAATGCCAGGAATGCAACTGAATCTTGAGCACCATCTTTTCAGTGTACTTGCACTTGGAAGCGGAATACTCATTTTTTCTTTCCAGAAGTGGTATGACTTTACGGGTAACGATCTGATTACTATGCTTTTTGAAATGTCGTCTGGAGACCATTTAATTCGCTTTTTTTTTTCATTAATGCATTTATTTAAGTTTCGGTAAATATGTTTTGAATATACGTTTTCATTTTTCTTAGTTTTTCATTTTCTTGATTCACTTTTTTAATGTCTTTCCTCAGTTTCTGAACTTTTTCTAATATTAGTTTTCTATTCCTTTTAAATCTTTTTCTTTGCTGGGAGATAGTTTTTAAATGCTGCTTTCTCTCAGTCTGTAAAACAGAAACCTTATTCTCAAGAGCTGATAATTTTTGTGATTAAATCATTCACATTTTTCTGGAGGTTGGAACAGTTACAACATTGCTGAGTAATATTATTTTCAGTGAGCTCCTCATAGCTATTATTGTTATCGTTTTGAAGTTCCAGACATGCCTTTTTAGGACTTAAATTCTGAATTCTTTCAAATGCACTTTGTAAATTTTTTTCTTTTTTGTTGCCTTTGCTGCCTTGGTGTATTCTGATAAATAACCAAGTCAGGAATACAAGCAGTTGGAATAGCAGTTGACTTCAGTATCTTTTTTGTCGGTAATCCTAGCAACCTATTTTTCATATCATCCTCATAATCAGATTCAGTGAAGTGATTACTGCATATTCTAACACTCTTCGTGTTAACAATATCCGCTCTTCAACACCTATGCAACCATTCTTTCGTTAACTGAATATTTTTGTACGGAAATCTATGAAATACCACGCTAGTTTCTTTCGTATTATGATACGTATTGCTACAGGTAGCAACGGCACAAGATACCATTTTTTCAATGATTTCAAGAACTTTCTAAATACAAAATCCCTTTAAAAGTATCATCAGTTATAACTTTCAAGTCAAAAAAAAAAAAAAAAAAAAAAAAAAAAAACTGTTTCTCTGAAACTAACAGGGTTAAAGAAAGAGAGTCCGCTCTGGTCAGTCGACGACGGGACGAACCCAGTGACGTCACATAACATCCGGTATTCTCCCCAAGAGGGGTTCGTGTCGGCATCGTTCTTCTCAAAGGGATGACCCAGCCTTTCTCTTTCTTTAGCCCTGATGAGAGAGAGATATGAGACCCAACTGCAGGATAATGAGGACCAATAAACATATCTTGGGACACCACACCACTGAATCAAAAAAGTGTTGGGTTCTCAAACCCCACTGAAATTCTTTGACTGAGCTGTCAAACAATACTCTATTCAAGGCTGATGATATGATGGAAATTTTGAAAATTTCATTAATCAGGGAGAGAGGAAGAAATTAACTTATCAGCTTGCTTTACAGTTGATTCTTTTTTAAGAAATGAAAATTTTTCTATCGTTATAAGTTTTTGTTGTTTGAGTACAAATGTTTTAAGTTTTATCCACAACAGGGGTTTAGCATTCTTTAGGTCTTTTGTAAGACATAGCATATTTTTTATAAAGATTACGGAAACTTTGTATTGCAACCATACATTTTTGAGAAAAATGATTGTGTTCTCATTAGACACTGAATAAGACACTGTAGGTGATGAAATTATCTCTCTTTTCATCTTTTCCAGATGAGCAAAACTCTCACATATTCTTTAACTAAATTCTCTGCATGCTGTTTCTGGGACAAAAATGCATTCACATGATGATCTATAAATGTAAAGCTTCTGCATTAAAGATAATGTGAACATTATTTAAAAAATAAAAAAATGTGCACTGCCAAATCAATATCTGCCAGGAAATACAGTTTATCTAAATCTGCAATTTAAATCATTAAAAAAAATTTTTTTTTTCTCCAAATTCTGGCAGTGAAAAAATTTGGATATGAGAAAACATTGAGAAACATGATGGATAGGGATGTTGAAGAAGCATAACTGAAATAAACTGCTTTTCAAAGAAGCCATAATCAGCCAATATTTGGATAAATGTTCCAGACAATGACCAATGTATTTGCCAGACACTTTGGAAAAACATGAAAAAAAAAAAAAAAAAAAAAAAAAAAAAAAAAAAAAAGACAACAAATATAATAACTGCACTTAATAATAATTGCAATTGACTCTAGTATGACTTTTTTTTAATTCAATTTATTTATTCACTTATTTCAGTATATGTGACAATGTTAATCAGTTTTTTCTTTATTTCTCATTCAACTTTTTACATATTTTTGTGACACATTCCATTTTTTGAAATCGTATAGCAAGCCAAACTTCCAGTCACTTAAAGGTTGTTACTAAAGCAAGGTTCGACATTATTGTTATATTTACATTAATTTATTTTGTTCAGCAACTACTTTTTTCATTTAAATTAAGAAATTTTCTAATTTGCAATACAGTAGGTACCGCTTTGTGTGATCATGTTTGTTCATGACCATTTTGATAACATTAATCAATTGATTACATTAAGTGAAAAGAAATACATCTTTTAAAATATCAATGGAATTTTAATTCTGAAATATCAATAGAATATATCTTTCAAAATAGCAATAGAACTTAATATAAATATAGCTAGACAGATATAAATACTTACTTTCATAGTAATGTAATTATGGAAAAAGTCATTAATAGTCGACTGTTTGGAATTCCTACATAAAAGTTCATATTTTGAATTGCTCATAATGTTTCTGGAAATTATTTTACCAATGCTGTGCCTCTAATCATAGGACATTCCTCCTCTCTTCAGAAAGTTCACCAATTTCAGCATCTTCTTTAGAAAGCTTATCACACTATGTGCTTGGATTTGTAATCCAGAAAGTGACAGGAAGATATCTCTATCCATTACCAAATCTGCTGCTTGAGGTTTTTCATCAATATCCGTCCAAGCACTAAATTCCTAATAATTCATGCCAATTGAAAATGTCTGTAAAGCTTCATTTTTTTTTTTTTTTTTTAATTTTATTATTTATTAAAAGTTTGACATTATTAAAACAGATCTTTTTTTTTTTTTTTTTTTTTTTTTTTTTTCTTCTTTAGATGTGGTTCCATGAATTTAGTGTTGACTTAACTAAAAAGCAAGATGCTTGATGACTTAACCCTTTACCTGGTAACATAGCTCAGTCATTTAGTGATTTCTTTGCTTTATTTTGATACTACCGGGCAACTTTATTTTTATTTGTTGACATTACTTTAGTTTAAAAAAATCACTGCATAATAGTATTTTGATAACATGAACCATCTTGTTGGTCACAATAAGCAATATATTTTCTATGTTTACATATAAAATCTTCGGCAACTCAATAACGATATCTGAATGATAAACTTAACATGATCACATTAAGCAGTGCCTGCTGTACTTTCTGAAGTCAAAACTGAAAATGATTGCGTACCTTTGGTGGTAAAGGTGGCTTAACAGGTGGTTTGGGGAAAGGAGTCATAGGGATTGTCCAGTTATGCAATGGATTTACAACATCTCCGCATGTTCCAATAAGAATGCCACAGAGTTCACTTGGAGCCAAAGCAACATTAGCTAATACTAGAGTTACTTCTCTCTAAAAAAATTACATTTAATATTATAAAATAAATAGAGATAAAATAGTTTTGAAGCATGTGTATAAAACAAACAAAATATACTAGTATGATAAAAACTATAACACAGACTTTTGTGAAATTAATATACTTTAATAAACTATAGAATTTAATGAAGCAGGACATAATAGATAATGGTGATTATTTTATGTTAAAGCTAACAATTGGATTTTTTGCCCCAGATGTGTTATTATTCTTGATCCTCACATTTTTGTTCAAATCACTTTTCAAATAAAAGGATGCTGCCATCAAAACTTATCACCATGCATTTATTTTTGAGGATATTAATACAGAAAATTTTAAAATACATAAGGCAGCCCTTAATAATCCATTAGGAATCTAGAAATATGCTGTTTTTAAATATTTTGGGATTGTGCTATTGAATTAATTTTATCTGGCACAAGTGAGAGAAAATGATGTTCAATAAATCAAAGACAAAAAGTTAATAATAAAAAGCCAAAAACAGTTGTGCAAGTCAACATCCTATGAAAACTGAACATTGATATGATTAACTGAGCAATAACTGAAAAAAATTATTGCTCGAACTTAACACTGTATCCAAAATTCTAAACAAATGTTGATTTTAAATATTCCATGATTTTTATAGTTAAATTTTATGTAGCATAAGTGTGAAGAAAGTGAAGTTTAAGAGTAAATAAGCATAATGTAAAATTTAACACATTGACTGCCATGCACATTTTATGTGGTTAGCCCATGGCATCAACATGAATTTTATTATGTGATGCATATTATCTTGAATATGATTTACAGAAGATAAGGTGAGTTAAACAGTCAAAAGTCGTTAACTCGGACACCCATAATCCAGAATGATCTATAATCCGGACCTCAAAACTAAAATCTTTCTGCGCATGCGCCGTATTGACGCGTGCGCGCAAGACCTTTACGACCGCACATATGCGTCTGCGCAAGCGCAGAATATGTTTTCGCGTGCACGTTTAATGTATAACCGGTGGTATAAGCTAAAATTATCTAATTATCTATTTCAGTTAATGTTGATGATTGCGTTGTTCCTTAATCTTCGAATTGGATCCGGCTTATTATTTTTTGCAGACTGTAAGAGCAATTTTATAAAAGTAAGCTTGAACTTTCGATTATGTCAAATAGAATTTCCGATGCTGGAGCTCCCAAAGGATCTACAAAATGAAAGTATGTTTCGATGTATTTGCCAGACAAAAAAACAAAAAGTGGAATTGCTACAAAAAATGGATAAAGGCATATCCTTTGTTTATCTAACCGTTCCGAAATCTGTTTATCAATTTCACGCTGCTCTGCGGGGGGGGGGGGGGGGGCACGTCGCAGCGCACAATGAACTGGAAGTTGATCTGTCAGCACTATCGTTATCTTCAGGGCAGATGTTTTTATTTTATTCGGCTTATAATTCCTTACTATATGTAGTATTTCATCTCGATCTACTCTGTCTTTGATATGATTTAAATCAAATTCCTCATCATTATAAATATCACGAATACAAACCAAATAGTTTTCTGGTTGCAATTTTCTAATTTTGGCTATGCGTAATGTATGCTTTACGCATGCGCGCGTTGAAAGAAACGTTTAATAAAGTAAACAAATAAATATTAAGCTTCTTTTTTTTGTAAATTTTGACACCCTTTAGATCATAATTGCTCATTATTTTATAAATTACGGTTTCATATTTTTTATTTTATAATTTCTGCATGCCATCTTACCAGATTTAAACTGATGATCTATAATCTGGAAAAATCGATAATCCGGAATCGCCGAAGTCTTAACGAGTCTGGATTAAAGACTGACTGTATAATCATGTTTAATGCATTTTTCGTGGTCCCCGAGGCACTGTAGACCATTTGTGTGATTTATTATTCTTTAAACCATTACAGTGCAATGGTGTTATTTAAAAATTTATGAGTAATGATATTTACTTTAATTATGTATTTTTACTATTGGTCGCATCTGCAGTCAGCGGTAGCCCCCACCGCACTGTAGCCAACTGAAGTGCCGGCCACTGGTAACCCCCCATGGCAGTTAACATGTCATTAATAAAGACAATAAAAGTTGAGTCAGTAGGATTGAGACCAAAAGCAGGCTGGTGAACCTGTGAGCTTAGTGAGAGCATAAAAAGCTTAACAACCCTCTGTTGTGATGTTAAAATCCAAATCCTTTCAGACTCCCCCTTCCTTTTATTTTGTTTTCTTTCTTTCTTTTTTAAGTATTTGTTCTAGCTGAGATTATATAACTATATGATTAATCTTGAAATGAAGTTACTATTTAATTAGACCAGTAATCACAATAAAACCAGTCTAACTAAATTGCTTATAGCAAACATTACCTACCATATTACTTATACAGTACAAAATCTTTAATCCACACTCGTCGGAACTTTGGCGATTCCGGATTAAGGGTTTCTCCGGATTATAGATCATCAATTTAAATCTGGTAAGATGGCATGCAGAAATTATAAATTTAAAAATATGAAACTGTAATTTATGAAATAAAGAGCAATTATGATCTAAAGGGTAACAAAATTTACACACACACACACACACAAAAAAAAAAAAAAAATATTGAGTATTTATTTGCTTACTTTATTAAACATTTCCTTCAATGTAAGTTGTTTAAGTTGCTTCGTTTTATGTGCTAATAACTTTCTCTTTAATTCTATAAACAGACATAATTTCTTGTTCAATTACAAAGTTCCGCTATTCAAGCCCTGTAATTGCTGTGCCGAGAATACAGTGAACAAACATGTCCTCTAAATTTCTTGTTTCTGTGTTGCTTCAGTTTCTAGAATTTCAGAGAGACCGACAGATACCGACAGATTTCAGAGATAGACCGACAGATATTTCAGAGAATACCGACTAACTTGTCAATCGAAATTTTTTTGTTTTCACTAATCTCTCTGCCACTTTCTTCATGCCTTTATCCATTTTTTTGCAGCAATTTCACTTTTTGTTTGATGGACATCAAAACATGCTTTCGCTTTGTAGATCCTTTGGCAGCTCCAGAATCGGAAACTCTTTTTGACATAATCGAAAGTTCAAGCTTACTTTTTATAAAATTGCTCTAACAGTCTGCAAAAAAAATAATAATAATAATAATAAGCCGAATCCAATTAGAAGATTAAGGAACAACGCAATCTGTAGCATTAACTGAAATAGATAATTAGATAATTTTAGCCTAGCTTATACTGTACGTTGTACATTAAACACGCATGCGTAAACGTATTATGCGCATGTGTAAACGCATATGTGTTTATATTCATGTTATAGTATTCTTAACTTCAGAATAAGTTGCATGCATATGATTGAAACAAATGATTCTTAACCCCCCCAAGAAAAGTAGAAAATATTTAGTGGAATGAAGCAAAAAATGATCAAATTATAAAAATAACTTTGATATTTAGTTTGTGATAGAACAGATATATGAACGTCGCATTTATATAACATAATTGCAAAATTAAAACATCTTCAGACACAGTGCCCTTCAAAAGTTAAGAAACAGTAAGCTTTTTGTGTCTAATTAGAAATTGAAGCAACACAGAAACAAGAAATTTAGAGGACATGTTCACTAAAGAGTTCTTTAATAAATGTGACAGAGAAGGTTTCCGAAGTTCAACACAAACATGAATTACAACAAAAAATTGCACTCTTGGCAGAGTACCAATATAGTACTATACACAGAGTAATCCTTGCTCAAGCTCATCTAACAACCTTGGAGGACGATTCAAAGCAGCAACTTACAGTGGTGGCCAAAATTGTGGACACTTTTGGAAATTTTTATGTTTTTGAACTTTGTATACTTATAGAAAATGTTAAGTTTCGCAAAATGCAAACTTGTATATATCATTTTAAAGAGAATTTATTACTGAATTCAATACGAAACGCAAAATTCAATTATTTGCAATACAAAAAAAAAAAAAAAAAAAGTTATATGTACTTTAATATAAATAAAAAAACACAGTTATGAAGTGGTTTGTAATGTCTAGCTTTCCTGGTCAATCACTGTTTTTGTTCTGAGAACCAATCAAATGTTAGTAACTGCCAGTAGAAGCTGACATCATGTTTACACTTGAAACAATTCATTATTTTGCTTTGTTCTGTAGAAGGAGGACCTGTTTCTTATACACTGCAATTACAAGTAGGAATTTTTGTAAAAATTTTTAATATTTAGTCAAGAAGCAATGACATCAAATAAAAGAGTAGATTGGACACCTAGAAAGAGATGTAATATTATTTGGACTTTCCTATGCTGAAATAGCAAGACAGGTGGGTGGTTCAGTGACTACATCTGGAGTCCGAAAGTTTTGTTTACGATATCAGGAGACAAATTCAATAAAAAACAAAGAAGGAAAAGGCCAAAAAAGGTGCACCACATCTATTGATGACAGAAGAATAAAAAGACTACGTTTCCAAGATAGAAAAATGTCATAAGCAGCCATCAGAAGTGATCTGAATGATGCTGGTGTTTCTGTCAGTTCTAGAACAATCAGGAGAAGATTAACAGATGTTGGACTGAGAGGTAGAGTTTCACGAAAAAAGCCTTATCTTAATTTTCAGCAACGAAAAAAAAAAAGACTACAGTGGGCAAAGTAACACTTTAATTGGACAGATGATCAGTAGTCACAAGTTATATAGAGTGATGAAACTAAGATATCATTATTCGGTAGTGATGGACGAAAATATGTAAGACGTAGAATAGGAGAAGAGCTACATCCTGACTGCATTCAAGCAACTGTGAAGAACCCAGTTAGTGTTATGATTTGGTCATGCATGTCAGCAGATGGTATTGATCGCCTTCATGTCATCGATGGGACACTGAATGCCAGAAAATACTTTGACACTATTCTAGAACCAAAACTTCTACCTTCCATCAGAGATCTCTTTCCCAAGAATGCTTCGTTTATTTTCCAGCAGGATTCTGCTCCTTGCCACGCGGCCAAAATATCAAAAGAGTTGTTTCGTACAAAGAGCATTAAATTGTTGTCATTGCCGGGAATCAGTCCTGACCTCAATCCTATCGAAAATTTGTGGCACCGTTTGAAAACTCTTGTCCGAATGAGGCGCCCATCAAATAAAAAGGAACTAATTGAGGCTATAATTGTTTCCTGGCATCATGTAATAACGAAAGAAGAGCTTAAAACTCTTGTCAGCTCAATGGAACGTCGATGTGAAGCTGTAATCAAAAATAACGCATACCCTACTAAGTACTGATAACTCACTGCAATCATCACTATCTAATGTATATCGATAACTATTATTGTTTAACTTTTTTTGTATTGCAAATAATTAAATTTTGTGTTTTTTATTGAATTCAGTAATAAATTCTCTTTTAAAATGATATATACAAGTTTGCATTTTGTGAAACGTAACGTTTTCTATAAGCATACAAAGTTCAAAAACATAAAAATTTCCAAAAGTGTCCACAATTGTGGCCCCCACTGTATTTCCCTAGGTAATTAGTTCCAAAGATGCTCTATCAGATTCAGGTCTAGGGATTGAGTTGGCCATTCCATCCACTTCATACCGTGAGCCTTAAGATCTTCTTCAGCAACCCAAGCTCAGTGTAGTCAAGCAAAGCATTTAACTACCTTTGATGTCATAAATCTGTAGAAATTGTGTGGAATTGTTGAAAATGTATTGAACTCTAAATGACATTCCAAACTTCAGTGAAAAAAAACTGGAGATTTATCATATGAAAAATCAAACAAAATTGAAATATTAATACTGTGAAACTTATAGTAAAGTTAAAAGAAGAGTTTGCAATTAAAGCTAATTCTGAAACTTTTAGAAGAATCATTACAGCATATGGATACAATGGGCCATCAGGCAAGAAGGAAAGTCGTCATCAACAAGAAAACAAGGAAAATACACTTGGAATTTGCAAAATCTATGGTAATCTATGGTTTATTATATAAAAACAATCTTATATTTGTAAATAAGTCCCAGTTTAATACATTTAAGGTCCAATGGACAAACTGCTGTGTGACCAGCTGAGGCATAATGGTTTGGAGCTGTTTCATTACTGGGCTGAGAAATATAATTTGTATAGCATATAACATATATGAGTATAAATGAATAAATATTCTTAATGGAAACCTCAAAGCATGCGCAAGAAATTTCAAATGCAAAATACATTCATGTTCTATCAGGATAATGATCCTAAACACACAGCCCTAAATGTTTGTGGTCCTGAAGTTATCAAAACTCCTCCATATTCTTCAGACTTAAATCGTATCAAATATATACAGTGAGTTGGAGAAAGAATAAGGAAACATGGCATTTCTTCAAAAGCAATTCTTGGAGATGATCAGAAAAACTTTAACATTCTTATGTGAAAAAATTTAGTGGGATCCATGCCAAAGTCTATGAAAAGTTTAATTTTAGCTAAAGGATATCCAAAACAATATTGAACATCCTGTTATTTTCATGTTTTTATTAAATATAGCCTGTTTGTTCAAAGTTTCTAAATACTTATGTATGCTCTTTTTCAGAACCTCTTGAATAAATTATTTCTTTTTACCAAAAAACCTTTGAATAATTTGTTTCCAAAACAAGCAGATTAAAAAAAAAAAAAAAAAGATCAATAGCATATGGGGAAAAAAATTAAGTTATTTTGCTAGGATTTAGTAACTGATATTTGCAAACAAAATTGGAAAACGTTAAGTGTCAAAAAACACATGTGAGCCATGTTAAGTATAAAATTAGTTGAAAAAGCTTAGATGATAAAAACTTTTAATAATAAAAAGACCTAACATATAAAAATTTAATTATAATAATATACAGCTAACTAATGAGTTTAAACATAACAAATGTAATACATTTGAGTTTCTTCGGCATACTTGGATTTATTTACTAAAACTCTAAATTTTTATTAATTTGTGATATAATTAACTAGCAGCTTTGCTGCCAGCCTTCATCTGGCTTTTAAATGTACTGGAAAAATGGCTGAAGGGAACACCAAACGTAAAATTTAAAAACTGCATAGAGTTTTACTCTGCAGAACAACTTCATAAAAAAGAAGTTATTACGTATAATAAAAATTACAATGAAATAAGCAATATCCGTTAATACAAATATTAATTATCCTAATAAATAAATTAACCAACATCCCTTTGCAAAATCTTAAGAACTCAAATGGTATAAAGGCGGTTAAGAACTTTGTTTCCTAAAACAATGACTCAGAACTTTTCAATATCTTAAAAACAGTGAAATGAGCAATAAATAACATACAGGAATACAAAAAACAAAAAATTCTGAAAAGCAAAGTATAATTAATGATATTTTATCTTATATTTTCAAGAGAAAGAGAAAAAATTACAATGAAATAAGCTATATCTCTAATACAAATATTAATTATCCTAAAAAAAATTAACCAACTTTCCATTGAAGAAAAAAAAATCATGCAAAACTTTCCAATATCTTACAAACAGTGAAATAAGCAAAAAATAACATGAAAGAAACTCAAAAAACATAAAATTCTGCGCAGAATTTTACTCTGCAGAACAACTTCATCAAAAAAAATAAAAATAAAAATGTATTATATAAAAATGACAATGAAATATGCCAATCTCTTAAAAACAGTGACATAAGAAATACGATGAAAAATTGTTTTTTATCTTATATTTTCAAGAGAAAAAAATTACAATGAAATAAGCTATGTCCCTTAATACAAATATTAATTATCCTAATAACAAAATTAACCAACTTTCTGTTGAAGAAAAAAATCATGCAAAACTTTTCAATATCTTACAAACAGTGAAATAAGCAAAAAATAACATGAAAGAAACTCAAAAAAACATAAAATTCCGCACAGAATTCTACTCTGCAGAACAACTTTATAAAAAAAAAATCAATAAAAATGTATTATATATATATATGACAATGAAATATGCCAATCTCTTAAAAACAGTGACATAAGAAATACAATGAAAAACTGTTGCCAAACCCATATTTCTAAAAGAATGAAACTATTCAAAATGATGGGATTTCATCAAAAATCTATCAACAACAATAAGAAAGGAAAATTGTTGCCAAAATCACATTTTTAAAGATGCGAGATGTGAGAAGTGTACTCGGAAGCTTCATTTAAAAATTTTTTTAAAAATACAAAATATTATTATTTTTCCAAAATTCTTTTTGTAAAAGCAGTCGCAAGGATGAAAGTTTAACATGTCCAAAAATCAAAGAAAAATAAACTGTACATTTTTAAACATAAACTTTTTTAGAAAAAATACCGTTGAAAAGGTGTTAAGCTCCCTTTGTTAAATAAATTCGTATTGAATCGATTTGTTGAAACACAAAATTTATTTTAAGTTCGTAAAATAGCTAAGTGCCTACGTTTCATGACGATGTGAAAATGGAGTGTGTAGAGTAAAATCTCGTTTTACTATAGCCCATTATGTCTCAAAATGATGCGATTTCGTTACAAAACATAAAATTAAAAAAATTCTAATTTGAATTTCGAAAAAAATCGCTTCGAGGTGAACTGGCTCTTGTCTAGATGCACCTATGTACCAAATTTCGTAGCCGTGGGCCTATTAGCTTATGCGCAGCGCGAACGAAAGACACACACACACACAGACTCTTTGTTTTATTATATGTAGAGATTAATAACTATAAACATACTTTGAACAGCTTGCTAATTCCTGAGCAAACACGGGGAGTCTCGATGCGAAACGTTGTACAAATTTTGTCAGCAATATTTCCAATATCATTTTCTGATGCACCAGTTTTCACATAATATTGAAGAACAGAAACAGCAAATTCGCAAGAAAGGCAAAGTGTTGTGGATTCTACTCTTTTACCAATATTTTTGATAAGCTGAAAATATATTTCAGATTTTCAATGTAATTAATACTTTTGTAAAACTTAAAACAGATTTCAAACATTTAAATATAAGCACTTATTTGTAATAAACATAATAAAATTACAATTTTTGAAGGAGCAAATATAAATTATGTTATAAGAAATAAATAAAATTATAATTTGTATTATAAAAACTAAACATCTTGAATGTTTGAATAAAACATAACCTACAGCAATTAACTTTTAGACTTTTTATAAACATTTAATGCAGAAGGTGTTTACACATTTTTAGAATGATTTTAGGGTCAATTAATTAATGTTTAAAATGTAAAGATTGTTTTTTTAAATGTTTGCTTCGATAGCCTATTTATGGAGTGCAAATCTGCATTATGGTTTCCATGATAGAAAGGCTTTTCAAAACATTTCCAAAGGTATAGATTTCCATTCCCCTTCTATTCCAAAATCCATCATCATGATGGGTTTGTGCTTAGAAAAAGCTCTTTCCAGAGACCAAAGGCACAATAATCCATAGGTGATTCATCCATCAGGGTACTTTACAGGAATATGTTGAAAAGGTACATATGAAATACCTGTATCAGTCATCATTTTTACAAGGAATGCAACAGTTCTTTTCAAAGTATGACTTGTTATTTTGTCTTGATAAAGTTTCACTCTTCAAGAGTCACTGGGATAAAGAAATTAATTTCTTTTGTAAACATCAGATGTAAAACTTTCTCCTGATAGTACACGAGTTGCTTTTAACATAGCTTTCCCCTCTTTTTATTATTAATTTCCCATAGCAAGAGAATCCTGCTAACACTTATAAAACCACTACAGAAACTTCCTTTGCATTGATGTAACCAAGTTTGCATATATATTTTTCCCCCGTCTTTGTTTTCGATAATAAAGTGACTCTTCTGGTTGCAGTCATTTAGGTAAAGGTCAAGGGTGACTACGTATTTCCAGCTAAATAGTTTTCATTCAAGGTTCTACAAATTATTCTGCTTTGAGTCATATGCTTTGTCAAAAGCTAATGAGCATTATGTTTTTTAGCTTTCTTAAGTTGTAAATCTTGATTTATTTAGAAATAGAAACAGTACATACTTTTTTTTTTTTTTTTTTTTTTTATTTATTTAGAGTCTTCTTTCTGTGCAACGGGTTTTTACCTTTTTGATCAAAATGTTGTTTTTGTACTTAAATTTTAATACCATGCATTTTTTAATGTTACCGAGTTATGGAATAGGAATATTTGTGTTCCGAAAGCATGAAAACCTATCCTTCAATTGCAATTACAATTATAAACATTCTGGGGATTCTAATCCATTTTTTCATATGTGATATTTTTAAAGATGAATAAATTTTAAAGTAGCACACAAATAAAAGTTACACTATCTGCACTAAAAGCTGCAGACTGAACTAAATTTTGTAAGTTTTTTTTTAATAAATAAAAATATATGAGTATGATATTTCCCTAAACATAAATATATAGACCAAGAAATATACAAGTAATTTTTGATATATATAAAAATACTAAAACATGAATCTTTGCATCATTTAAAACATTTTTATAGCTGCAAGTCTGTGTTTATGACCAACGGTTACAAAAAAAAGGCTGGGTAAGGACTTTAAAAGAATTACTACTCTTAACAAAATTATTGAATAAACAATTAAATAATATATGAGCACGAGGTATATCTTTACATCTTATTTTTATAAGTTATGAAGTAAATAGTTAGATAAAAATGCTTATGTAGTTTATTTCCCTTCATAACGCAACAAGTTTTAGCAAAATTTGCAGATATGATCAGTCATATATTGGGCAAGCTATTTTGTCTGGCAAAATGCATGAGCTACAGAATATTAAATACCAAAATATCAATGACATAGCACTTTTATATTTTTATCTGATATAACACAAGATGGCAAGACACATATTGCTAAATGCCTCCCTTACTGGGCATGCTACTTTAACTCTGAAAATACAATCACTGATGCCAGAAGAGGTGTGAATAAATTTAATTTTTTATCTCCAGAATGTTTATAATTGTAATTGCTAAGTAAGCTTTTAATAGTAATAATGGTATCAAGATTAACAGCATTTTTCACTGTTTCATTCAATTGTATCAAATTGTCTAAAGACAAATTTTGAAAATTTTACAAAAGTCCTACAAAATATAAAGGCTGATAGAGCTCTATAAACATCATAAATATATAAACATTATAAATCTATAAGCTCTATAAACATTATAAATATATCCTATAGAACATTATAAATTATCCTCTACAGCAGGGGTTCCCAGCTATGGGGATTTCCCTCTAGATGATGGAATGTATTCAGGATTTTATTTACCTGTTAAATATTTAGTTTTAGTTTATGAATACACACAACTATTTTCATTCGAGTTTTGATATTTATCAACAATTTGTATACTTTTCTTGCTTAATTTACAAAAACATCTTAGAAAATAATCTAAATAAATGTATATGTATTCTTTTTGTGAAAGAAGAGTTATAATCTTCTGTCGATTGTAAAAGGGGTGCAAGGAGCAAAACAGCTTGTGAATCACTGCTCAATAGAAATGCTGTACAGTACAAAGTAAATAATCCGGACTCGTCGGGACTTCAGCGATTCTGGATTAGGGTTTTTTTCCGAATTATAGATCATAGATTTAAATCTGGTAAGATGGCATTCATAAATTATACAATTAAAAATATGAAACTGTAATTTATGAAATAAAGAGCAATTGTGATCTAAAGGGTATCAAAATTTACAAAAAAAAAAAAAAAAAAAAAAAGGGCTTAATATTTATTTGTTTACCTTATTAAACATTTCTTTCAATGTAAAGTGTTTAAGTTGCTTTTTTTTGTGCTAATACTTTCTCTTTAATTCTATAAGCAGACATAATTTCTTGTTCAGTTACAAAGTTCCACTGTTTAGGTCCTGTAATTGTTGTGTCAAGAATACCGACTAAGTTGTTAATCGAAATTTTTTCATTTTCGATAAACTCTTTGTCACTTTCTATCGGAAGCGGGCATGGGTAAACACTTTACGCGCATGTGTAGCAGAAGCACACATTAAACGCGCATGCGTAAACACTTTACGTGCATGCGTAAGCTTGTGGGCGGATTATAGATCATTCTGGATAATTTGAGGTCTGGATTATAGATCATTCCGGATAATGGACGTCCGGATTACGGACTTTGTACTGTATTATAAAATTCTAAACATATTTTATTAAAGCTTTCAGAGAACCGAAGTATCTTGTTAGTTTCCTATGTACTAAATGGGGTATATAGAGGGGGAAAAAATGTTTAATTCATAAATGATTAATTATTTGTGAACAGAAATTCTTGGCCTTTTTCTTCTAGAATCTAAACATGCATATAATTCTAGCATGTAATATTTCGTGTAGTTTTTTTGTAAATTGTGAATTAAATACAAAAATTACATCTTGTAGAGACACAATATCAATTTAAGTCATAAAATTAAGCAAAAGATTATATTGTTAATTATAAATGACATTCTTGAAATAAATACCTTTGATGGTACCTGTACCCCCATAACAGAAATGGCTTACTAATTTTAATAAATTTTAACTATTAATGTATTTATTTTTATTTAAATATATTTGAAACTGAAAAATTATTGTTCTTTTACTGAAAAAAAGAAAAAAGAAATTTATCTCTTTATAAAGTTTTTACCTTCTTCTCCACATGCCACAGATAAATTCAATATCTGTATTAAAATATTCTAATCAAAAACAAAAAATTAATTTGTTATATTTAATCTGAAAAGGACATTTTGATGATTTTCTAATGCATTTAAATACCAAAAGCTTTTGCAGGATTTTTATAGAAAATTAAATCAAGAAATCTTGTTTAGAATTCTTTTTATATAATATAAGATTCTATACTAGAATACTCAGAAACTTTGAAAAATTGTTTTATAGAGTCTCTGCACAGATCTCTATAGATTACCAATACATATATCTGTAGTATCCCTTTACATAATTCTGTAAAAGCTATATGTAAAGTTTAATAAGATTATATAATATAGTTCTTACCTAGTTTGTAGAAAGGACTATAAACTCTAAAGGATTCTAAAGAAGCTGGACATTTAATTTTTTACATAATTCAACAAAACATTTTCATAACTGAGTCATATATGCACAAGCAGTTCATTTTAGGATTTTGAAACTTTTGGAATTTTTCTTAATTATGCATTAAACGTGTGGTAATTTGAGCAGGTAATTTGTTCTTGGCAATTATTGCACTTTAGGAGTTTCTACATTGTTTACTAGATTAAATGAAGATGCTACTGGCTTAGATACACTTTACAAGATGCAAGTGAAAAATATAACTTTGTGTAGTACGACTAGACATTTTGAAACTGTGGCAACATGGCCATTACAACTTATATTTCAATAATAATAATAAACTGCAGTTATTCCTCAGTTTTAAAGATTTTGTTTGCCACAGGTATTAGTGGAACTTGAAACAGGAAGTAAGCTTGAATATATTAAATTCCGAATCTCAATAAGCAAGCTTTTGTATACTAAATCTGAGCTGCTAAATTCTAATTTACACTCACACATTTAAATTGAATACTTGCACTTCAGAAACCTATGCATCATGTTGAACAATTTATACCACCATCAACACTTTTTAATATTAAATAAATAATAGAGTAAAGAGGAAAAATGAAAAAAATTACCTCTTTAATTTTTAATACATCAAACATATGCTTCAGAAAAAACTTTATATCATCATATGTGCCTTGCATTTTATTATTTTCAGCTCCTGATTTTGAAATAATTTCATTTGAAGGTTCAGATTTTTGATGAGAAACTAAAAAGTAATTCCATTTAAATTTACTTGCCGATACAGCAGCTCCATTTTCAGTATTTAGGAACGCAACAAACAAAATGGATAATAAGATACATTTCATAAGACAAGCCATTTTCCTTTATCTATGGTTCTTCAAGATCTGAAAATAAAAGACATTATTACATTTTTCAATAAAAATAAGATACATTTTATTTGCAAAACATTTATAGAGCATGATGTACACAAATGGTTGATTAATTATTCATGGTTTTCAAAAATGGTTATTCAGTTGTTATGTTTAAAAAAAAATTATTAAGACTTGAAAAAAAATCATTTAAACTACTTTATCTCTTGAAAAACTTAATAGCTTTAGTACCAATAAGTGTGGCAGCTTATAATTATATATTACCTAGTGTGATCTACGGAGAGTCGGCATACTGCATTGCCCTGGCATCACCTGAGTTTTCTCCCAACGAGCACCTGCATGCCTGGAAATCAAATCTAGTTTCATCTACAACCGGCACGACCCCTTGTTAATTTGACTGAACAAGAGCAACGTGCTCGCAGCCCTATCTCATAAAATGGTATACAGCATCTGTACAACACGATACATGGATGGTTTTGCGCTTGCATTCAACACTGTGGCTATTACAGCAGTTAATAATATACCATCATTTCACATTTGAAATGGCTCTTCTCACGCATACTTTAACCTTTGATCTTGAAACATGAATAGAATAAATGTTACCTAGAGAAGTGCTATGTCTTCATTTCATTCCCTTAAACAGATTTCTTCTTGCTAGCAATTTAAAATACAAATTTTAATTGCTAACTAAGGATTATGCTATATGTTAAAATAACGAAACACACTATCCTTTAAGTCCTGCTGTAATTTTTTTGCAATATTCTTCTCCCCAAGTATAGCTTAAAAACACAGCTTGCTTAAAAAAAAAAGAGAGAGAGAGAGAGAATTTCATACTCAGTATCACACAAATCTAAAAATACTTTCTATCTATCAAACATCTCTTTGTTATTTCCTTCATAAATTCTGCAACAAAATTCAATATTCCTGCAGAAATTTTACTGCAGTTTCTTTCATTGCAGGCAAATTCTACAAGTGAATATTTTAAAATTAAGTTTAAGGCAAAAAACACCTTGGTTTGTTTAAAAAAAATCATTGGAACTTGGATTGGAATGCATACAAAAATGATGACGTTGCTTGACTGAAGGTTGATATACTGTTATGAACATGGTTATCCGAAGAATGGTTATGTGCATGGATGTCACAGTTTAGCACATTCTGAAAATCTCATAATTCTTACTAAAGTGGCTGCAATAATACTCAAGTACCTATTAATCTGTTATTAATCCTTCGAGTGGCAAAACTTTAGCGATTCATTTATGAAAAGCTGTGTTTAAATGTCATTCATCAGATAGATTTGTATCTTATATAACTTTTTTGACATTTAATCCATTAAAATAACATTTCAATTATTAAAAAATAAGAAAATAAAACATTTTAAATATCAATGCAATATATACCAAGCAAATAAAATAAAAGCAATATCACGCATCAAATAAAAGCAATCATGTAGTTCAAAATTTTAAACCTTTAAAGCCACACGTCTCATGATGAACATTGAATAAATACTTGATCTTTCCTACAGATCAAAACTGAAAGCGATTAAAAAATAAGATATACAAAAATAAAGTAGAAAAAATAATCAGCTGAAGTTCCACACGCTGTAAAATATCAACAAAATTTTACTCTTACTTTTCACTCTTATATAAAATATAAATGATGGTTATTTCTATTTAGCAACAAGAATAAAATATAGTTGAACATTAATATCTCAAAATGTATGTTGGAAAAAATATTTTCAGCATTAGTTCAATTACTTCTCCGACATATATTACAAAGTATTTATATATACACACAAACACATGTATATATATAATTTCCCTACATATATCATCCTTTGAAACCCTATCTTAAATTTATGATTCTTATGCCAGAGCTATTAATAAATAGTTCAATATTTATCCTCTATCTTTTTTTTTTTTTTTTTTTTTTTTTTTTTTTTTTTTTTTTTCCCAGAGATTCTAAGTTGCCTAGCTGTTTGTCAGTCCAGAACTCCCGATTTTGTTTCTGCGTATTCTAAAAAACAAGATAATGAAGAAATTTCTATATCTTTATCCTCCTCCAACATAATGCTGACTGATTAAGGAAGAGCTAGAATAGATAACGCTTAATGTGATCATAATCAACATTATCATTCGTATATTGTTACTGAATTGCAGAAGTCCTACCCATTTACATATGAAAACATGAAAAATACATCGTTTATTGTGATCAACAATTTGGTTAATGTGATCAAAATATTACAGAATATACTATTTAAACTAAAGTGGAAAAATAAAAGACAAATGCACTAAATAAAAGTTAAAAATTGTTAAGTGACAAAGAAATGTCACCAACTAAAGGATTATTTCACCAAACAGCTTGCTTTCAATCTTAGTCAATCATTTAAAATTAGGCAAAAAAGCAACCTTAGTTTGAAAAAGATTTTGAATAACTCTTGTCAGTTTTCAAGGCAACTAGATACAGGTTCCTCTTCTTCAGGAGTAGAAAATAGTTCTCAATTCTTTTAGGCATCTACATACTAAGTAGCTACGGATTTCCAACATTATACTGTTTGTAGCATAAATACTGTTAAAAAATGTAGCATAAATACTGTTTAGAAAAATTTTTGAATAATGGCCAGCCTTTTCAAAGTGACATACTTGATGGAATGTCCAATCTCAATTATTCTGAAGTGTCTGTAAGCAAACTGAATATCTCATAATTGACTTTACTGTGATTAATCTGAGGAGTTTTAATGAGGTAAAGTAGAATATATTTCTATTAAAAAAATGAAATCCATAATATTTTCTAAACTGAACTAAGCTAAACAACTTCATAAAGGAAAGAGTATTTTAAAATTACATGAGGAAAAATCAGATTTCTGGAAAACAATGAAACAGTAACAAAGAATAGTCATCAAAAAAGGGAAATTTGTCAAAAGATATGCTTTTAAAAAAGTAAAATTAAAAAAGTCTAGCTTATAAAAATCAGTATACTATTACAAAATAAAACTACTCAGCTGAATTTATAGGGAAAAAAATCCAAATAAAATGCATTTATCTAATGCTTTTTCTATGAATACTATTAAATCTAGTAATAATACTTATTTTTTAGTTCACATAATTCAATGAGAAATGATGAAAATTCACATTTTAAAACAACATTAACTTCCGTTTTTGTACGAAATGAATGGGATCAAACTTTTAATACATTTTTAAGTACATATTCTAAACTACATAACATCAACAAGTACATTCTAAAATATATTTTCTCACTGGTTAAAAACACTCCATTCTAACTTGAAAGCTTTTAGCTTCACAGCATGTCTTTAGATTTATAATTTAAATTTCTTTCCATTCAAGCAAATATTAATAAATAAATAAAAACCGAAATATTTTCTGATCATTATTACATACTATTCCCCTGAAAATGAATTTGAAGACATCTCTATTCTCAGATTTTCTTTACTTTGAAAGAGAAGCTTATTCTTCTAATTCTTCCACTCACTAATGTTTTAATTCTACGTAAAAATTAGGATGCATGCAATAATAAACCAGAACTTTTCATTTGTTTATTCTTGTACCTAATTAGTAAATATCATGTACTAAGCTTTCTTAGTTTTAATACTACAAATTGCAGAATACAATGCATTTAATTTTGCTTATTTTGCAAAAATCAATAGTAAAATGCACATTCTTTATGCTAAACATAAAAGATAATAAACATTCAGTATGACATAAAACCATACAACCTTATTTAATAATTTCAGAGACATGTTTAATAGGAAAATGCAGTATTAAATTAAACGAATAAACGCAATGAATAGATTATTTCCGTACATTTCAGTTGGGAACTTTTGATATTTAAAACATAAAAAAAGTTATATTTTGCAATTTTATATACAATTATTAGCCGAAACGTTGGCTCATATAAAAATTTAATCACTGAGAACTATGAAAAAAATATTATGGTAGTTATTTAAATGATGAATGTAAATAAATATTACAAAATGATTCCAAATTATACAGATAGACAACATATTATGAATACACTTATAAAATAATTTTTATTACCGAACTACACATATTGCAAAACAATGCCATAATTATCACTCATTTAAAGACTACAAAATACAAAAAAAAAAAAAACCCTTTCAGACACTCCAAGTGAAAAAACATGACATTCTATAAAACCATACCAATAAAGAGATAAAGCGGGGAAACTTACAAAATAGATTTCAGCTTTGCGGATAAAGGTCGATTTCCTTCCACAGTTCGATTTTCACAATAAATAACTAAAGTGCTTACTTTATCGACTGCTTGATTTATAGCCATGATGAAAGGATACGATAAACGAAGATGATAAACACTACGTTAATTAGATTATATCATCTTTATTTACATCTTTCCCGCATCGAACAATGTAAATACACAATCACGTGACATACTAGTTGCGACAATGCCCATGACGCAACTTAAGGCTGGAGAAAAAAAAGGTGTGTCAAGCAGATCGTCCTCCTGACGTCAGAATTCACTGATACACCATTAACAACTGATTATGGTAAAAAGTATAAGAATACTTCTAATAAGGTGTATATCAATGATGCCATGGTTAGTCCTGTTTACTGGAAGCATTCTGACATAATGTTTAAAGCATAATAAATAATTTTTCGCCCAATCTTGACTGATTCCTGGTAAAGTGCATTTCGCTCGCTACTTCACGTAACTTTTGCAAAAGACCAGTTTTTTTTTAAAGAATAAAACTATTTCAAGTTTAATTTATTGAGTAAAGTCCCTCCTCCCTCCCAATGTTAGATTTTTGATATGCGTAAAACTTCAGGGTATAAGCCGGCTGATTTGGCAGAAGTCAAACCCCTCGTAGGTTATCTGTATGCACTCTCCAGTGGAGCGGTGTCTGGTACACCAGGGTACCTGGGCCGAAGGCCCTACCCCTTGTAGAACATATCAAGACATTGCGAATTATTGCAAAAATTAGCCAGATATTACATGTATAGCATTTTTATGACTATGTACATTTATATTTACATGAGAGAGTTTTTTTAAAAAAAAATTTTTTTTTTTTTTTATTATTTTTTATTATTTTATTTATTTTATTTTTTTTTATTTTTTTTTATTTGTTTTTCCTAATAGGATCAGAAAGCCGTCCGAGCTGATGTCCTGCAAGGTAGAAGTTAAGTGGTGCAAGGAGTAGGTTATCTGTATGAGAGAAGGAACATAGTTTAACGGAAAATTCTTTCGTATAAAAAACCATGAAAATTCACTCAGTTTGAACCCAGGTGGAGCCAGCAGTGTTCGGCGACCTTATCGTTAGTCTGCAGGCGACAAACTTTATTTTTGCGCCATTTTCGGGTTCAAATGCGACCACACGCAGGGCATATTTCCTAGAAATTTTGAGACACTAAAGCAAATCTCTACAGGCGCGTAGCCAGGGAGGGTGCCTATACTTAAAAAAAAAGAGCTAATTGATTTTCAATAGATAAGACTTAAGTTTTTAAAATATTGCTTTCTAGCTTCCCAAAATAGTCATGTTGTTAACAAAAAAAAAAAAAAAAAAAAAAAAAAAAAAAAAAAAAAAATGAACGGAAAGTCTACGATTTTCCATTTAGAAGTAAGATCAGGAAAAATCATCCTTCCTCAGCTAACAAGCGGCGGGAAAATGCTTCGAAGGTTAGGGAGTACTTTCAAAAGTCGCAAAGCTTTTGTTCTATTACAGCTTTGAATAGACCTCCCCAGAGCTTAAATTGCGCCGGAGCTTCGCAGTTTTCGAGATAAATTGTAATTTCAGCCAGAGCGTACCGGAGCCCTTAATAAAAGGGCTCAGGCACTTTTTTTTATGCAAGTGAACCACAATTT